TTATTGCTGGCGAATCAAGAGATCAGAGGGGCTGGGAAGGTGGCTCAGTGGTAGAGTGCTTGCCTTGCATGCCTGAGGCCCTGGGTTTGATTCCTCAGCACCACATAAGCAAAAAGAAAAAAGCCAGAAGTGGTGCTGTGGCTCAAGTGGTAGAGCGCCAGCCTTGAGCTGAAGAGCTGAGGGACGGCGCCCAGGCCCAGAGTTCAAGTCCCAGGACCGGCACACTTACAAAAACGGAGGAGACTCACCCCAGCTTTTCCCTTCAGGGGACCCAGCGGCAGAGCCGCCATGGCGGCGGGTGGACGTGGTGTTCGATTGCTTCTTGGTGACGGAGGGCGGCTCCCCGGGGGCTTGGGCAGCGAGCGGCCCCCGGGAGAAGGCCTCGCTGGTGCTGAAGGGCGTGTCAGCGCCCGATGACGGCTCCCTGGAAGGCCTCACGGATTTCCAGGGGGACCCAGTGACCCCGGGGGACCCCTCGGCCAGTTTCCAAGCCTCAGGTAACTAAAGCCTTACCCTGAGATACCCCAGATCTCCCCCCTGCCCCCCCAAACCCCCCTTCCCGCAGCCGCTCTGCCACCTGCGCGCTTCTCGGCAGTGGAGCAGGTCCGGGTGCCCGGGGCCGCGGCCTTCGTCCACGCTGAGTGTCAGGGGCAGCCGGTGGCCTGCGAGATCGCCCCCTACATCCTGGGGAGCAACCTGGGGGCCCCCTGCTTCATCGCCAATGTGCAGCTGCTTGGAACAGGGGCCCAGTCTCTCCCTCCTCATGAAGGCTCTTGGGGGTGCTGAGAACGCCGTGCTGAACCCAGGCCCCGGCCCCCCACAGAAGATGAAGACGGCAGGTGAGTGCTGTGTGTGTGTGTGTGTGTGTGTGTGTGTGTGTGTGTCCGGCCTGAGGCTTGAACTCACGGCCTGGGCGCTGTCCCTAAACTTTTTGTGCTCAAGGCTGGCGCTCTACCACTTGAGCCACAGCGCCACTTTTGGCTTTTTGCTGCTTTTTTTTTTTTGGTCAGTCGTGGGGCTTGAACTCGGGGCCTGGCCGCTGTCCCTCAGCTCCTCAGCTGGAGGTTGGTGCTCTACCCCTTGAGCCACAGCCCCACTTCTGGTTTTCTGGTGTTCACTGAAGATGAGAGTCTCACGGCCTTTCCAGCCCAGGCTGGCTTTGAACCGTGATCCTCAGATTTCAGCCTCCTGAGTAGCTGGGATGACAGGCGGGAGCCACAGCGCCCGGCCTGAGGATGTGGTATTAAGTGACTCTTTCTCTCCCCGCAGTGGAATTCCTGGTGGCCACAGAGACCCCGTCTCTGACTTTGCCGCTGGGCTCTTCTGGGGCTCTGCACTGTGGCTTTTCCATGGCGCCCGGCCTGCAGCTGCTCAGCGTTCACTGGCGGCGACAGCACAGAGGCCAGGGCAGCTGGTGTACAGCTGGGCGGCGGGGCAGGGGCAGGCGGCGCGGGAGGACACAGCGCTGGATCCCACGCGGCTCCTCGCGGCTGGGGACGCCACCCTCACCCTGGCCGCCTCACGCTGAAGGACGAGGGGACCTACGTGTGCCAGGTGACCACCACGCTGTACCAGGCCCAGCAAGTCATCCAGCTCAGCATCCACGGTGAGCAGCCGGGTGCCGGTGCTCACACCTGTCATCCCGGCTACTCAGGAGGCTGAGCTCTGAGGATCGAGGTTTGAGGCCAGCCTGGGCTGGAAGGTCCCATGAGACTCTGATCTCCAATGAACCACCAGAAAACCGGAAGCGGTGCTGTGGCTCTAGGGTTAGCGTGCCTGCCTTGAACTAAAAAACTGAGGGACAGTGTCTGGGCCATGAGTTCAAGTCCCAGGGCCAGCATCAAAAAGAAGAAAAGGCAAGCCCAGCCTTTTACTCTTCTTCCTCCTCTTCCCTCTTCTTCTTTTTTTGGCCAGTCCTGGGGCTCGAACTCAGGGCCAGGGCACTGTCTTTGAGCTCCATTGCTCAAGGCTGGCGCTCTACCACTTGAGCCACAGCCCCGCTTCCTGCTTTTTTGCTGGCTAATCAGAGATCAGAGTGTCACGGCCTTTCCTGCTGGGAGCTGGCCTTGAACCGTGATCCTCAGATCTCAGCCTCCTGAGCGGCTGGGATGACAGGCGTGCGCTACCGTGCTGGGCCTGACGCCCCCATTCTTTCCGAAGCTCCCCCCAAAGTCCGGGTGAGCGTGGCAGAGACAGCGGCCCTGCCCACCGTGGTGTGCACCGTGAGCGGCTACTACCCCCTGCACGTGGGGTGGCGTGGACGCGGGAGGACGTGGGAGGAGCCCCAGCCCCGGTGGCGGACGCCTCCTTCTCCAGCCTCAGGCAGAGCATGGCGGGCACCTACAGCATCTCCTCTCCCTGCGGGTGGACGCCGGCCCCGCGGGCGCCATCTACACCTGCGAGGTCACCCACAGCTCCCTGGAGGAGCCCCTGCGGGCCAGCGCGAGGCTGGACCCACGCCCAGGTACCCCGAGTGTCCCCCTTCCCCCCTGCCCCGCTGCCACGGCTTTGCCGTATATTCCAGCTCAGTACACATAGGGAGCTGGGACTACAGGCGTGCGCTACATGCCCGGCACAACCCCGGTATTATAGATGCATTTGGCTTGCAAGGGTTAAGGGAGCTGAGGTTATTTGACCGTAAATGGACAAAGAGAAAATGTGAGGAAATAACCAGTCCCCTTCAGGTCTTAAACGATCTCCCCCGGGCGGTGGTGGCTCGTGCCGGTCATCCCAGCTGCTCAGGAGGCTGAGATCTGAGGATCGTGGTTGGAGGCCAGCCCCGGGCAGGAAAGTCCTGGAGACTCTTATGGCCAAGGGATCACCAAAAAGCCAGACATGGCGCTGTGGTTCAAGTAGCGGAGCGCCAGCCTTGAGCCGGAAAGCTCAGGGACAGCGCCCAGGCCCTGAGTTCAAATCCCAGGGCCCAAAATAAATGAGTTGGGGGGAGGAAGGAGGCAGAGCGGGTGGAGAGCGGGGTAGGGGTGGGGACAGGTCAAACACACACACACACACACACACACGTGAACACCACGTGTCCACCCTTCTCACCCGTAGAGGGCAGGACAGGGACGGGCATCATCTTGAGCGCCATCTTCTTCCTTCTTGTTCTGTCGTGCTGGGTGCTCCAGAGGCAGCAAGGTGAGTGCTCCCATGAGTGCTCCCCCCCACCTGCTCAGCCCCCCCCCTGCTCAGCCCCCCCCCCACCCGCAGGACCCGCCCCTCAACCTCCCTCCAGGGCTCAGGCCCGACTTCCAGAGTTCCCAGCCTCCTGTGGCACCAGGAAGAGACCAATTTTTCCTTTTCATTTTTTTCTCCCTAGTTTTCTTCCCGAGGTCGGCCAAGCCCCTGAGGTACACGGCGTAGCCATCTTCCTCCTCCTCACTTCTGGCAATGAAGAGCAGGCCCGTTCTTCTACAAGACCTGACACCACCGTGAACGGCACCCGTGGCGCATGCCTGTCATCCCAGCCGCTCAGGAGGCTGAGATCTGAGGATCGTGGTTCAAAGCCAGTCTGGACAGGAAAGTCTATGAGACTCTGATCTCCAATGAACCACCAGAAGAAAACCGGATGTGGTGTTGTGGCTCAAGTGGTAGAACGCCAGTCTTGAGCCAAAGAGCTCAGGGATAGCACCTAGGTCCTGAGTTCAAGCCCCAGGACTGGCACTAAAATAAATGAGTAAAAATAAACACGGTGTATCCAGATGAGGGGGAAGATGTGGGTGTGCCAGAGGCCTCGGTGGGCAGGCTGGGACTAAAGGAGGCAGCAGGTGGGGCCGATGCTTGTGGTATGAGGTTCCAACACCAGTTGGAGACTCAGCCTCGAACACCCACAGCACACGTCACTTCCTCCCACAAAGCCCTGATCTGGGATCTGGGGGGGCGGCTGCCATCCCTCAGCCCCGTCTGCCCCTGGCATTGATGACATCCCCCCTTCCCTCCTCAAACAAGAAGCCAGCCGGATGGGTGGGAGGAGTTTGTATTTTTGTTTGTTTTTTGCCTTTGTGCAGAATACATGGATTGGTAAGGGAAGCCACATGCCTTGGTGGAGAGGGAGATGCTGCCATTGTCTGTGTGACACGAGGGTCGGGTGACAGACACGCAGAGGAAAGCCCACAGCCCGCTCGTGGCCAACGGAAGAAGGGGTGGAGAGTTTGGGGGCCCGCGCGGGATGTGCTTGCCCTTCTGCGCATGCGCGTGAGTGGTGGGCGGGAGGGGCCGCGCAGAGACGCGGGAGGAAAGAAAAGGAGATGGCCTCACCCCCCAGGACCCCAGGAAATGAGGCCTCCAAGCTAGGGCTGGGCCCAGGGGCGCTTCTGGGGTGTCTCCCTGAAGGAAGCATCAAAGGCTAGTGGGTAGATCTTTGGGGAGACCCCAGGAGAGGGAGGGCGGCCTCCATATTTCCTCCCAGCTCTTCAGGCCTGCCTGGAGGGGTGGGGGGGGCAGAGGGAGGAGGGAATGTGGGGTACAGGCATTAGGGAAGAAAAGGGGAAAGAAGGATGGTTTTGGGGGGTGAAATGCTGCCATGTGAGAAATGGGCTTCAACCTGGCTGGGCGTCCATCAGAAGAGGAAGGACCGAGGCTGTGGGGTCCCCATTCTGTCAGCTCCCCCCCCCACTCCAGCCCTCCAGTTTACCCCACACAGCCTGCCGTCCTCGGGGCCCACGGTGTGTGCGTGAAGCATCCAGGAATGAAGGAAGAGAACGAGGCCAGGAGAGTTCACATGGGGGCTGAGGGGTCCCAGAGGCCGGGGCGCAGGCCTGAGCCCTGCCCCCCCCGGGACACAGGGCACCCTTGCACCCCCCCCCCCCAGCTGACTCTGAGCCCCACTTGAAAAAATCCCCAGCGATCAGACAAAAATGAAGATAAAAATGTACAACGAGGGGGATTTCCTTCTGACGCCCAAAACGGCAATGCACAGACTCGCAGACCTCGGCGGGATGCAATTATGGGGTGCCCACGCGCATGACATAGAATGTTCCAGAAAACACAGAGGGGAGGAGGGAAGCGAGGGAGAGACAGCTCCTTCTGGGAGAAGGAGGGGGGGGTCCTTACTCGGCTGCAATCACTAGGTGCTTATTCTCAGGCCTACGGGGAACAAATTAAAAATGATGAGCGCCCCGCTCCCCCAAAGAGGGAAAACTGTGGGGTGACAGGTTAGGAGAAGCAACTTGAGTTTCGGAAAAACAGGGGTGCCCGGCGGCCCACGCTCACCTACACGGAAGAGGAACATGACCACCGTGTGCTGTCTCCCACCGGCTGTGGAGAACTTTTGGGGGTACCCCCGTCCCCTGCCCTCTTTTCAGTTTTGGGGGGAGCCTGGGTGAGCGCCCAGCAGAGGCTGGCTGGGGACCCCACGCCTGTCCTGGAGCCCCATTTCTAGTGTGGGGGGGGGAAGAGTCGATGAACGCAACCAAAGAGGAGGGGGGGGCTGGAGAAGCGGGGCGGGGGTGGGGGGCGCAGGGGTGCGGGCAGGATTTGAACTTCGCACGGCCGTGAAGAGGGGAGGGGGCGGGGCACATTCTCAAGTAAAAAAGTAGACTGGACACAGGAAATCAGGAAGTCCCGGATGGAGGAGAGACAGACAGACAGAGACAGACAGAAGAAAACAAGAGGGTGAATTACATCCAGTTGACAGGTGCCCAGGCCTCGGTGAGAGGATCCCCCAGATCGCCCTCTGACCCCGTGACCTCAGCCAGGGACAAACAGCGGACCCCCCCTTCCCTCCCCTCCCCCCTCCTCCCCCATCTCCACTTCCATACATCAGCAGGTGCCAGCCCCTACCCACAATGCCTTGCGGGGAGACCACTTACCCAACAGCCATCAGCGGGGTTCCTGGGCTCCCCGGTTTCCTCCCCCCCAGCCAGGGGTGTCCATACCTGGGTGACAGCACCCCCACTCCCCAGACAGCAGGTGGGGGGCAAGCAGCAGGCAGGGCTGGGTGTCTCCCCTGTGCCCCCCGCAGCCGCCGCAGCGATACTTACTTACTATAACTACCACGATGATGGCGCAGATGGCCCCCAACATGATCATCATCTGCGGACACAAAGCGTGGGGCCTCGGGCTGGGGACGCCCCATCGGCCATCTTCCCTCCACCCACCGCCCAGGACCCCGGACACCTGCAACCTCTGCTCCCCAAAGGCCCTAATTCCAGCCCCACACCCCCAGCTGGCTTCGTCTGTGCCTAGCGCGCATGGCTCCCGCCTGTCATCCCAGCCACTCAGGAGGCTGAGATCTGAGGAGGGATGTTCAAAGCCAGCCCGGGCAGGAAGATCCCTGCGACTCTCAGCTCTAAGCAACCACCACAGAGCTGGAAGTGGCGCTGTGGCCCAAGGGGTAGAGCACCAGCCTTGAGCTGAAGAGCTCAGGGACAGTGCCCAGGCCCTGAGTTCAAGTCCTAGGAGACACACACACACACACACACACACACACAACCAATGTGGAAAAGGCAGAGTTTGCATCTGTGATCAATTGGTTTGGTTACACCCCCAAACATGGCGGGCATTTACATAAATACTGGGGCTGCTGTGTGTGTGGCTGTGGGGGTGTCTGAGGAAGGGTCAGGAGGATTTGTGGGGGGCACTCCTGCAGCGGGAGGCGGGGCTGGGGGGAGCTAATCACTCTGAACACCCCAGGAGGGTGAGCAGCACTTGGTCAATGGTTCTAACGCTCTAGCGCACCCTGGTGGCCAACGTGGCTTTGGGAGGGAGCCGGGGAACTCACTCACCTTGCAGTTTTTCCACCAGTACTTCCGTTTTAGCTTAGCAGCGCTGCTCTCAAACTGGGAGGCTCCGGCCTGCAAGGCGTCGGCTCGGTCATCCAGCTCCGAAAGCTTCTGGTCCCTCTCCAAGACCTTGTCCACGTTCACGCGCATGATGTCCACCACCTGAGGGGGATGCAGACAGGGAGCGGCTGCAGGCCGGGCGCTGTCACGCACGCCTGGCATCCTGGCCTCTCAGGAGGCCGAGATCTGAGGATCGTGGTTCCACACGCCAGCCTGGGTCGGAAAGTCCACGAGCCTCTTCATCTCTTCCAGACGAACCCACGAGAAAACCCGAAGTGGAGCTGTGGCTCCAGGGGAGCCCCAACTTTGAGGGGCGGGGGGGGGGGGAATCTCAGGAATGGTGCCCAGGCCCTGAGTTCAAGTCCCAGGAAGAAATACAAATAAGCAGGTGATGAGATTCTCCCGAGAGGCAGAGCAAAACAATGTCTGGCGGATCACGAGTCTCATGTGTGTCACTCAGAGATGTTTTGCTGACAGACACACAGACAGACAGACAGACAGACAGACAGACAGACAGACAGACATGATATCCTCTTGGGTTAGGAAACTCTCCCAGACACAGCTATTCACATACCTCCTCCACCTGTGCCTGCGTTTGCTGTAATCGTCTGTTGCTGGTCAAGTTGGGAGGGGGGCCGGGGGGACCCCCACCCGGGGCGGCCCCTTCTGCCCCTTCCGCGGGCGGCTGAGCTGGTGGAGCGGACCTGGGAGTGAGTTGAGCCAGGACACACAGCAGTCAAGACCAGAGTCGGATCTAGCTGCACCCCGTACAACCCAAGCGATTCCAGTTAGGTGATAGATAGGCGCTAATAGAAGGAACGCTAGAGCCCGGGGGATTCTGGGAGGGGGAGAGAGGGGCACAGAGGAAGCAGTGGAAGTGTTCTGCCACAACGTGTGGATTAGTCCCAGGGGGCCACTGAGACGTCCTGACTGTGAGCCCAGTATGGTGGCACACGCCTGTAATCCCAGCTCCTCAGGAGGCTGCGATCTGAGGATCCCAGTTCAAAGCCAGCCTGGGCAGGAAAGTCCACGAGACTCTTATCACCTATGAACCACCAAAACAGCTGGAAGTGGAGCTGTGGCTCCAGTGGTAGAGTGCTCAGCCTTGATTGCAAAAACTCAGGGATAGCACCCAGACCGTGAGTTCAAGCCCCAGCATCGACACAAACACCAAAACTCTCCCCAGAATAGTCCTAGAAAAAAATACACTAGTCAGCAAGTCACCTCAAAGGAAATCCCTTGACTAATCACAATAACACGAACCCCTAGAACCTCCTCTCCCTTCCCCCCCACCGTTGTAGTTTTTCTCCCTCGTGTGTGAAAATCAAACATACATCCCTGGGACAGACTAGTAGATGACGCTGATTTATTATTTATTATGCCCATTTTAAAAAGAAATCTCTGCCACATTTTCCTCCAACGTACAAAGAAACACGTTAAGCCGGAGGACCCATGAGCCGTGCGGTGCTGCTGCTGAGCTAGCTTAAGGCACCTCCTGCTGCGCTCACTGAGAAAGAAGGGGGGGGGGGGGGAGGCTGGAAGCCATCCAGGACAGTGGGACCAATGTCAAGGTTAAGGTCGGAGCCCTTGTGATTCCCTGGTGGCCACACTTTCTTTACCTCCCTGCCGGCCTCCTACACAAATTCGGCCGGGAGCCCACGGGCCTGAACCCTCTCTCCAGCATGCAACCTCAGAGCTTGCCCAAAATGCACGAAACATCATCTTTTTTGGTCAGTCATAGAGCTTGAACTCAGGGCCTGGGCACAGTCCCTGAGCTCTTTTTGCTCAAGGCCAGCACTCCACCACTTTAGCTACAGATCTACGTATGAGGTTTTCTGGTGGCTCATTGGAGATCAGAGTCTCAGACTTTTTTGCCCAGGGTTGGCTTTGAACCTCGATCCTCAGATCTCAGCCTCCTGAGTAGCTGGGATGACAGGCGGGAGCTACCAGCGCCAGGCCAGAATGTCATCTTCAGTCATAACTGCGGAATTCTGTGGGCGGCCAGTGGCTCACACCTATAATCCCAACTACTCAGGAGGCTGAGATCTGAGGATCGCAGTTTGAAGCCAGCCCTGGGCAGGCAAGTCGGTGAGACTCTGCTCTCCAGAAAGCTAAAACTGCAGCTGTGATGCAAATGGTCAGAGTACTTAGCCTTGAGTGAGAAAGTGATTGGGACAATGCCCAGGCCCTGAGTTCAAGCCCCAGGACCGGCACAAAAGAAACAACCCCTGCAGATCTCTGCAGAGAAAAAAAAAGCACAAGGGCCGGTGAAGGATTTGAAGTTCACTCCACTTACTGGTGGTGGCTGGGGGCTAGAAAGAGTCGGTACCAGGCCCAGGACCGCTTATCACCCTTATATAATGCAAATAAATCTTGGCTCTTGTTTGCTCCCAGAAGCAATAGAAACACAGCCCCAAGCCAGCCCAGGACTTCACCCACGAATGAGAAACGGAGACCATAAATCATCAAATCTCTCTGCAGCATATTGTCCCAAGCTCACAATCTGGGGTGTGTGTGTGTGGGGGGGAGGAGGCTGAGATCCGAGGATGGAGGTTCAAGACCAGGCAAAGTCTGTGAGCCTCTTAGATCTGCCACTGAACCCCGAAACACCAGGTCGAGGGGGAGCTGTTGGGCTCAAGTAGGAGAGCTGAAGAAGCTCAGGGGCAGCGCCCAGGCCCTGAGTTCGAGCCCCAGGACGGGCAGGAGCATCCCTAGCTCCAGCTGTCTGTCTGTCTGTCCCGCCTCGGGGCTGCTTTGCCGGGACGGGGGAGGGGGGGGCCCTGCCCGGCCCCTGGGGTGCAGCCCCCACCCCCCGTCCCGGCTGTGCACGGCGGGGGAGGCCCAGCCGGGTTCCCCCCGCGCCGCCGCAGCTGCTGCAATGCGCCATTTTCCGTCCCGCAGAGTCCGGCGCCCGGGGTGGCGGGGGGGGGGGGGGGGGGGGGGGGGGTCCAGCACCCCGACATCAGAGTCCACTCACATGTTCCTGACAGGGAGCGGGGGCTCGGGTCGCGCTGCGGAGGCCGCGGCGGGCGGGACGGCGCTGCGGCGGACCGTGGACGGCAGCGCCAAGCTCCGCCTCCCGCTGACCGCCCGGACCGCCAACTGCGCTGCAACTTGCTGCAGTTGCCGCGCGGCGGGACCCGGGCTTTATTAGCGCTGGCCACGCCTCCTGGAGGAGAGTGACAACCCCGTCGTCCAATCGGAAACCGGGATGGCTTCCCAAGGTGCCCGCCTCCGTTCTGAAGATGAACCAATCACAGCCCTCGTTTTATTCGACCGCGCACATTCTGCGGAGAATCCTTCCCTGGCCAATACAAATGCAGTTTACGTTACCTGTGGGAATACCGGCTCTCAGCCAATCGCTGAGCTGGCCGCTCCTGTCAATCATCCCGCTCCGGCTGACTGGACCAATCACACCCGGACCTGGGAGTCCTGCGGGGGAGAGGGCGTGGCTCAGCAGCGGCGCACGCGTCGGGCGCGCAGCCCTGGCCCGGGTCTCAGCGACGGCGCTGCGGAGCCCACGGAGCGGAGGTGCCGGGTGCGGGGTTCGGATCTCGCGTGACCGAAGCTTCCCCGAAGCCTGGACGCCGACCGAGGTCCCCAGCCCCTGCCCAATGGCCCAGGTCCAGTCTGCTTTTGCTTGTGCATCTCTGCAGGGCCTGGGGTTTGAACTCGGGGCCTCTGTGCTCAAGGCTGGCGCTTTGCCGCCTCAGCCGCGGCGCCACTCCCGGCCTTCGGGTGGTTCATTGGCGATCAGAGTCTCCGGGCCTTCCTGCCGAGGCCGGCTTCGAACTGCGATCCTCAGATCTCAGCTCCTGGCCGGGATGACAGGCGGGAGCCACCGGCACCCCACTGTTTGTTGTTGTCTTGGGGGGAAATGGGGGAGGTCATGAGCCTTGAACTCAGGGCCTGGGCGCTGTCCCTGAGCTTCTGTGCTCACGGCTTTTCCGGGGTGGTTAACTGGAGATCAGAGCCGCAGTTTCCTGCCCGGGGTTGGAATCACAGAGCCTCAGATCTCAGCCTCCGGAGGAGCTGGGGTGACAGGTGTGAGCCCCAGCGCCTGGCTGGCCTTTTGGCTTTCTAAGACTTGATCTCACTGTGTGTCCCAGCCTGGCCTCCCCAGTGCTGGGATTACAGGTGTGCACCACCGCCCGGGTCTCAGGAAGTGGAGCTGTGGCTTAAAGTGGCAGAACACTAGCTTTCAACAAAAGAGCTCAGGGACCGTGCCCAGGCCCTGAGTTCAAGCCCCAGCCTTGGCACAATGGGTGTGCTCACAGACAAAGTGTTTATCCCATCTTTCTGAAATCACACCAAAATGACCATCTGTAAAAATCTGGAAACAACTGATAAGCTCTCAAAGACAAAGACAGGGATGAAGTATTTCTCGTAGTATGAATGTGCAAGTTACCCCACCAGCCATCCCATAATAAGAGATTAAATCTCCAGGTTAGATCTATCATCCGAGCTACTCAGGAGGCTGAGATCTAGAGGATTGACATTTGAAGCCGGAAAAGGCTGAGACTCTTAAATTAACCAGCAAAATGAAAGACTGGAAGTATGGCTGAAGTAGGAGAGCACCAGGCATCAGCAAGAGTCACATGAAGGTACAAGGCCCTGAGCTCTAGCCCAAAATTGGGTACTAAACAAGGTAGCTGCAAAGGTTGGACTTGAACCTGGTGGCTCCTCAGGGCAATAACAGGGCATGACTGAAGGTGGGAAATGCAAAAAACAAAAAACTTCTACATGAACCTCAAAGCCCAAAGGATTAAACCCTTTTGTGGCACCCACCCTAATAATAGAGGACTACCAGAGCTTTCCTTTCCTTCCCTTTATTTGCAGTGCTGCACGCTGGTAGCTCCTGCCTGTAATCCCAGCTACTCAGGAGGCTGAAATTTGACAATCACAGTTCAAGTTACCTCAGGCAGGAAAGTCTGTGAAAATTATCTCCCAATTAAGCTCCAAAAAGCCAGAAGTAGAGGTGTGGCTCAAGTGGTAGAGCACCATCCTTGAGCAGAAAAAAGGTAAGGGACAGTGCTCAGACTAACTTTAAACTCCAGTACTGGTAACAAAGGAAATAAAATATTTGCAGAGAACATACAACACAGAGCCCTGTTTTGTTGAGTTTTCTCCCACCGGAATTCTTTGTTTCCTGCTCTGTGAAAGCGTGTGAGATATCCTTACTTCCTATAAACAAAATGGCAAGAACATGAAGAGGTTCCCAGGCCTGGTGGCGTGGCCTCGCTCCCAGGAGAAACGAGACCAACCTTGGACCAGCACACCTTCCATCCAGGCCTTGGGAATTTTCCACAGAAACTGTGGCAAGAGAAATAAATTGAAGTCCCAGACTGTAAACCAAGAAAGTGCCAAGAATAAGAATCGAGAGAGACAGAGGATACAAAGAAGGGAAGTTAAAAAAAAAAAAATCAAGCCAAATGCTCCATTGTCTGATTAATAATCTAAAAAGAGCCGGGCGCCGGTGTCCTGTAATCCCAGCTTCTCAGGGGCTGAGAAGTGAGGGGGGTGGTTTGAAGCCAGTGTGCGCAGAAAAGTCACAAGTGGAGCTGTGGCTCAGGTGGTAGAGTGCCAGCCTTGAGCTCAAAAGCCCAAAGACAGTGCCCAGGCCCTGAGTTCAAGCCCCAGGATGGCACAGAAAAGAAAGTGCGCTGGGTACTGAGAGGTTCCAAGGCAGCCCTTCGTTATTATGGAAAGCGTGCTGCGCACCCTCCCCTCGGGCGCGTCCTGGGCCCCGGCCCGGCCACCCCGGCGTCCCCGCGTCCCCAGCGCGTCCCTAGCGGTGCTTGCCGCGGCGGTTGAAGTGTTTGTAAAGGTATCGGATGCGCTTGTTAAGGTTGTGCCAGTCCTCCAGGAACATTCTGTTCCCCACCATTTTCTTCTTCCTGATGCAGCGCTGCAGTTCATTCCCCTTCCAGCCCCGCAGCCACACAGGGCCGCGGATCAGTTCCTTGGGATGCTTCTCAAAGTTTCCTGGGGGATGGAAGAGAGGGTAGTCATGTCAGGACTGGAGGACCGAGTGTGTGTGGTGAGCCAGGAGTGGTGCTGCACGCCTGGAATCCCAGCCCTGACATATGGAGACCCTGACTACTCTCCAGGCAAGACAACCCAACAGTTGCAGCTTCCTGAGCAGAGCTTGTGCAGAAGTCATGTTCTCAGGAGGCTGAGATCTGAGGATTGCGGTTCAAGGCCAGCCTGAGCGGGAAAGGCCATGGGACTCATGTCCAATTCAGCAACGAGCCAGAGGTGGTGCCGTGACTCAAGTGGCAGAGCGCTAGCCTTGAGCTGAAGAGCTGAGGGACAGCGCCCAGGCCCTGAGTTCAAGCCCCACGACCGGACTCAAAAAATAAAAAATAAAATAAAATAAAGTATCATAGATTCTGGTGCCCAAATGATTTGGCTTCAGATTCTAACACTGCCATATAGTAGCTTTGGAAAACTGAATTAACCTCCTGATTCCGCTTCCTTTTCTGCAAGTGAGCTCACGGTTTCCTAACCACCATGGAGAAAGCCGTCATGCCGACGCCTGCTCTTCCTAGTGGGCACTAACTAAACCCCTGCTGACACTAGAGACAAAGATCACCATTTCAGAACAGAAAAATGGAGGGAGCATGAGAGCCTGCAAAGCTGAGCTGGAGACCCGCACGGATTGGGAGTTTGGAATGCCTTCTGGCCACATACTCTTAGGATGAGGTGTTTTCTTCTGGAAAGGTCAATTGAGTCCAGGCTTGATAGAACCTCAGATTTCAGACCAGGGTGTGAGCTATTGGATCCTAAACTGTCTTGGAGCCCGGGGGTACACTAAGGTTTCAGCGAATTGTAAAGATGAGGAAGTCATCTACCATTTGCACACTAAACACTGTCGTGTGTGTGTGTGTGTGTGTGTGTGTGAAATACGTTCCTTTCTGCACACACTTCCCTCTACAAAATGCAATAAAAACTTTGGTTAATGGAACCTTGGGACCTGAAGCTGGAGGAAGGCTTTTTGGCCACCAAACCTCACTTGTGTGGTTGAGATCTCTGTTAACTGCCTTGTCCTTGGTCATAACCCATTGTGACCAGAAGGGTGGGGAAAATACAGTCATCTTATTCAGTATGGAACCAGGTATCTCAAGGGGGTGGGTGGGGTTAGGGGAGATGAGGGAGAAAAGAAGGGGTGGCCTGTACCCCGAGGCCTTGTACTCACACACCGGGACAGTCAAATGAAGACCATTTTATGTGTGTGTGCACCCATACCGGGGCCTGGGTGCTGATCCTTAGCTTTTCCATTCAAGGCTGGAGCTCTACCACTTAAGCCAGGCCCCCACTTCCAATGTTTTTTGCTAATTAATGGAAAAGAAGAATCTCCCAGACCTTCTTGCCTGGTTTCGACCCTGGAGCCTCAGGTCTCAGCCTCCCAAGTGGGTGGAATTACAGGGGTGAGCCTTGGTTTCTTTTATAAGCATTAAAAAATAAAAGCAATAAAGTCCCGTGTGGGCAGCAGGGCGGGGCCTGGGCTGCACGGCTCACGGGTGGGGGGGGAAGAGGGGGGCGCCTCACCGAGAATCCCAACGTTGTCGTAGACGCCGAACAGAGCCCGCTTCTCGTCCCAGCGGTCGACCTCTCGGGGAGGCGGGAGGGTGCGCCTTATGAAGTAGTTCCTGGGGACACCTGCGACCGGGCGGGAGGGACCCAATCAGAGCTGTCCACGGGGGGGGGGGCACGTCAATCAATCAGAGCTGTCCACGGGGGGGGGGCACGTCAATCAATCAGAGCTGTCCACAGGTGGGGGGGTGGACGCGTCCGTCGGTCGGAGCTGTCGGGGGGGGGGGGGGGGACGCGTCCGTCGGTCGGAGCTGTCCGGGGGGGACGCGTCCGTCGGTCGGAGCTGTCGGGGGGGGGGGGGGGACGCGTCCGTCGGTCGGAGCTGTCGGGGGGGGGGGTGGACGCGTCCGTCGGTCGGAGCTGTCCGGGGGGGGACGCGTCCGTCGGTCGGAGCTGCCCGGGGGGGGGGGGGGACGCGTCCGTCGGTCGGAGCTGTCGGGGGGGGACGCGTCCGTCGGTCGGAGCTGTCGGGGGGGACGCGTCCGTCGGTCGGAGCTGTCGGGGGGTGGACGCGTCCGTCGGTCGGAGCTGTCGGGGGGGACGCGTCCGTCGGTCGGAGCTGTCGGGGGAGGGGTGGGCGCGTCCGTCGGTCGGAGCTGTCGGGGGGGGGGGGACGCGTCCGTCGGTCGGAGCTGCCGGCCGGGGTCGGCAGGCGGAGCCGTCCAGCCCCGATCTCGGCGTGGACCCGCGGGTCGCGCCCCGCTCACCCGCGGAGAAGCTCCTGCCGGCCGCGGGCAGCCAGCCCCGCAGCGCCGCGCGCAGCCCCGCGCACAGGGCCGCCGCCATGGCCGGGCCCCCACGCGCACGCGCAGACCCGGACGGCGACGACGCCGCCGAGAGGCCGGGTCCGGCGCGGGGCTCGCGGCGAGGGGCCGCGGGCCGCCACCTCAGCCCCTCCCGGCGAGCACTGCGCTGCCGCTACGCGCGGCCCCGCCCTCCAGCTTCCGGCCGCCAGCCCGCCCGTCCGAGCGGCTTCCGGTCTGCACACCGGAAGTTCGGGGGCGCTCCGGAGACGCCGCAGGGCGTGTCTGGGTGCAATCGCCCCGTCCCTGAGCACCCCCAACGGAACCGAGGCACCAGGGGGCGTGGCGCTCGGGCTGCTCAGTGCGGAGGCGTGGGGGACCTGCGGTGTGACGGGGCGGAACTTCTGCCAGGCGCTGCCGCGGAGCCACGGGGGGCCGCGCCGGCGGCAGCCGCGGGGTGGGGCCTGGCGCCGCGCCCCGCCCTATGCCTTGATTCCGCGCTGCGATTGGCCGGCTGTGCCAGCAAGCGTCGGGATTGGTCGCTTTGCAGCCCTTGGGCGTTTGGACCGCTCCGCGGGTGGATTTTTATCCGCGCCGCGCTCGGCTCAGGGGGCGGGCCTTTTGTCCTCGCTTGCTCAGGATTGGCCAGGTTCTCCGCCAATTTGGAAGGCTGCCTCTCTGATTGGTGCGCGTGGGCGCAGTCGTGTTTTCCTGGATCTAGGTCGGCCGCAGGCCTGGAGGAGAAGGCGGCCGCGTGCCCGAGCTGAGAAGCCCGTCTTCCTCATCCAAGGAACGGGAGTTCGGGGCCGAGCGAGGTAGGCGGCTCCGCCTGCAGCCGGCAAGGGAGGTCTCGATGTGGGGGAGGCCCGTCGGAATGTGTGGACGCAGGGTGCGGTACGCACCTGTCCCAGCGCAGGGTGCGGGGCTCAGGGGAAGGGGGCCTTTGACCTGCCCTTGGTGGTGGTTGTGGGCTGGGACTCGAACTCGGGGCCTCGCACCCTTGCTTCGCTTTCCCACGCAACGCTGGCTGCTCTATTACTTGGGCCCCTCCTCTCCTGATCAGCTTCTGCCGGCTAAGGAGAAGCGTCTCGCCCCTCTTGCTTCCTGGGGATCCTCAGCCCTCGGCCTCCCGAGTGGCTGGGATTACAGGCGGGAGCCACCGCACCCACGATAGGAAGGGGTATCTTGCAGGAGCACTGTCATTTCTGGGGTGCGTCGTTGGTGATGTGTGGTTGGGGTGCGTGTTGCACTCACACCGTGGAGAAAATAAACCACAGTGGAGAAACGGGACCAGCACAAAAGATCAACGTTAACAGTATCTGTAATAAATAAGACACTGCCGCCACGGGCCTCTTTGGTGTTTTTGTTGTGGTTTGTTTGTTTCTGTCATCCTTGGACTTGCTAGACAAGTGCTCTGGCATTTGCATTACACCCCCAGTATTTTAATTTTCTTAGGAAGAAAATAAGTTTATTGGAGAGTTCAAGGTCAAGGTGTGGGCATCTGGTGAGATCTTTTCCCTGCTCCTGAGTTGGTTTCTTTCCTTTGGGTTGAGTTAAACAAATGGTTATCATACAGGTGATGTACAGAGGGATTACAGTTACAGAGGTCAGCTAATGAGGACATTTCCTTTCATACAATGTCATCCCTTCCCTCCACCCCTGCCAGTCTCCCTCCTGACTCCACCCACAAGTTAGATCGTTCATTTTGGACATAGTGTCCAGTGAGCTCCACTATTCTTATTTTCAATTTTGTAATTTTTCTTGGTGGTCAGGCTTCTACTCGGTCTGGGTGCTGTCTCTGAGCTCCTTTGCGTAATGAGAGCACCGCTTCCAGTGGTTAATTGGAGATGAGTCTCAAGGATTTTTTCCTGCCCCAGCTGGTTTCAAACTGCAAACCTTAGATCTCAGCCTCCTGAGATGCTAGGATTACAGGTGTGTTCTACTGGGGCTGCTTTATCTTGTGAGATAAGGTCTTGCTAACTGCCAGAGCTGCGATTAAATTCCCAAGCCACCTTCCTGTACCTCGTGAGTAGCTGGGATTGCTGACGTGTGTCACCAAACCCAGTTCATCATATACCCTTCCCTCCCTTTTGTGCAAGTCCTGGAACTTGAACTCAGGATCCAGATACTGTCCCTGAGACTGGTTTTTTGTTTTTTTTTTGTCGGTGTGGGGCTTAACTCTGGACGTGGGCACTGCCCCTCAGCTCTTCAGTTCAAGGTGGGTGCTCTACCACTTGGGCCACAGCGCCACTTCTGGTTTTTTGGCAGTTTATTGGAGATAAGAGTTGTACACACTTTCCTGCCCTGGCTGGCTTTAAATTGAGATCTCAGATCTCAGCCTCCAGAGTAGATAGGATGACAGGCGGGAGCCACCGGCCCCCGGCTCCTGAGCTTTTGTGCTCAAGGCTAGCACTCTACCTCGTGAGCCACAGCTCCTTTTCTAGCTTTTTGATGGAGATAAGTCAGGCTTTGTTTGCATCTTAATCTTTACATCTCAGCCTCTGGCGTAGCCAGGATTATAGGCGTGAGCCACTGGTGCCAAGTTCATCATGTACTTCTTGATATGACAAGTTAGTAGAACCTTCCTCTCTGATAGCCTGGCCAAAAATACTTAACTCTAATATACATTGTGAGAAACTTCATTTGCCTGGAGTAGTGGCAAATGGCTGTCATCCTCGTACATGAAAGGTGGAGGCAAGAGAATCACAAAGTTAATACCACTGGGCCGGTAGTGAGTTTAAAGCCAGCAAGATCCACTTGGACCCTGAGCTGAGCACGTAGCTTAGTGGTGAAGTGCTTACCTAGCATGCCCTTTTATTCTCCAGTACCAGGGAATACTTAATGAACGAGCTAGTGCTTGTGGCTCACCATTTGAGCACTGCGACTTGAAGACAGCGTAGGCAAAAAAGCCCAAGTTTCTAATTAATAAGTACAAAAGCTGCACTCAGAAGCTTCTCACTCAGAAGCTTCTCACTCAGAAGCTGTAACTCACTGGGCACTGGTGGCTTATGTCCGTAACCCTAACTCTGCATGAAGCTGACATCTGACAATCATGGTTCAAAGCCAGCCCAGGCAGGAAAGTCTCAGAGGAGACTATCTATCCCCAATGAGCTGTCAGAAAACCAGAAGTGGTGCTGAGGTTCAGAGGATAAAGTGCTCGCCTCGAGTGAAAGAGCAAACAAAAATCAGGGATAGGGCTTAGACCCCAAGGTCAAACCCCAGGACCAGCACCAAAAGAAAAAAAAGGGGGAGGGTACCCGGATGAAGAGGAAAAGGATAGGTGTGCCTGTGCCGGAGGCCTCGGTGGGCTGGCCCATCCCCTGGACAGGACCTGCAGGCTGGGACTAGAGGAGGCAGCAGGTGGGGCGGATATTTGTGGTATGAGGTTCCCTCCCTGTCCAACACCAGTTGGAGCCTCAGCCGGGAACACAGAAACACCCACAGCCCGTGTCACTTCCTCCCACAAATCTCTGATCTGGGGGGTGGGAGGGAGACATGCCATCCCTCAGCCCCTCCAGTCTCTGGCATTGATGACACCCCCCAGCCTCAACCACCCCCCCCAAACAAGAAGCCAGCCGGATGGGTGGGAGGAGTTTGTATTTTTGTTTTTTGCCTTTGTGCAAAATACATGGATTGGTAAGGAAGCCACATGCCTTGGTGGAGAGGGAGATGCTGCCATTGTCTGTGTGACACGAGGGTCGGGTGACAGACACGCAGAGGAAAGCCCACAGCCCGCTCGTGGCCAACGGAAGAAGGGGTGGAGAGTTTGGGGGCCCGCGCGGGATGTGCTTGCCCTTCTGCGCATGCGCGTGAGTGGTGGGCGGGAGGGGCCGCGCAGAGACGCGGGAGGAGGAAAGAAAAGGAGATGGCCTCACCCCCCAAAACACAGGGCCCAGGACCCCAGGTGACAGACGCTCAGGAAATAACCCCCAAGCAAAAAAGAACCCAAAGTAAAAAGTGGTAAGAACCCTCCCCCCAAGACCCAAGCTGGAGAATCCTGGGGTGACAGGCCAGGAAGAGCAACTTGACTTTCTGAAAGACAGGGGTGCCGGGTCCACGCTCACTTGCGCAGAAGAGAAACCTCGCCGCCCTGTGCTGTCCCTGCCGGCTGCAGTGGCCTTTTGGGGGACACCCCTGTCCCAGCCTCAACCCCTCCCCTGCCCTGGCTGGTCACTCTTTTCAGTTTTGGGGGGACACGGGCAGGTGCACAGCAGAACAGGGTGGGGAGGGACCCCGAGCCTGTGCCTCCACAGCATTTCTAGTGTGTGTGTGTGTGTGTAATACCAATGAATGCAACCAGAGTTGCAGGGCAGGGAGGGGGTGCGGGCAGGATTTGAACTTGCGTGGAGACGGAGAACAGGGGAGGGGGCGGGGCACATTCTCAAGTGCAAAAGTAGACTGGACACAGGAATCAAGAAGTCCCGGATGGAGGAGAGACAGACAGACAGAGACAGACAGAAGACAACAAGAGGGTGAATTACATCCAGTTGACAGGTGCCCAGGCCTCGGTGAGAGGAACGCCCAGATCGCCCTCTGACCCCGTGACCTCAGCCAGGGACAAACAGCGGACCCCCCCCCATCTCCATTTCTATGCATCAACATGGGTCAGCTCCTACCCACAATGCCTTGCGGGGAGACCACTTACCCAACAGCCATCAGCGGGGTTCCTGGGCTCCCCGGTTCCTCCCCCCCAGCCAGGGGTGTCCATACCTGGGTGACAGCACCCCCACTCCCCAGACAGCAGGTGGGGGGCAAGCAGCAGGCAGGGCTGGGCGTCTCCCCTGTGCCCCCCGCAGCCGCCGCAGCGATACTTACTTACTATAACTACCACGATGATGGCGCAGATGGCCCCCAACATGATCATCATCTGCGGACACAAAGCGTGGGGCCTCGGGCTGGGGACGCCCCATCGGCCATCTTCCCTCCACCCACCGCCCAGGACCCCGGACACCTGCAGCCTCTGCTCCCCAAAGGCCCTAATTCCAGCCCCACACCCCCAGCTGGCTTTCGTCTGTGCCTAGCGCGCATGGCTCCCGCCTGTCATCCCAGCCACTCAGGAGGCTGAGATCTGAGGAGGGATGTTCAAAGCCAGCCCGGGCAGGAAGATCCCTGCGACTCTCAGCTCTAAGCAACCACCACAGAGCTGGAAGTGGCGCTGTGGCTCAAGGGGTAGAGCACCAGCCTTGAGCTGAAGAGCTCAGGGACAGTGCACAGGCCCTGAGTTCAAGTTCTAGGACCAACACAGACACACACAACCAAAATGGAAAAAAATAGTTTGGATCTGTTACCAGTTGGTTTGGGTACACCCCCAAACACTGCAGCCATGTATATAAATACAGGGGCTGCTGTGTGGCTGTGGGGTGTCTGGGGAGGGGCGGGGAGGATTTGGGGGGGGCTCACCATCTGAGCTATTCAGAGTGAGCAGCACTTTGCCAGGGGTTCTAATGCTCTAGCGCTCCCTGTTGGCCGCTGTGGGTACTGCACCTGCAGGAGCGGCTTCATTCCCCACTGCTCAGTAGGACAGAAACCCACGGGCTGCATTAGAGGCCAGTGGCCTTCTTGCCTTCTGTGGGAGAGCCAGGCCCGCAGGGAAACTCACTTTGAAGTTTTCCCAGCAGTATTTCCTTTTGAGCTTGGCAGCATTGGTCCCAAACTGCTTTGCTCCGGCATGCAAGGCGTCGGCTCGGTCATCCAGCTCAGAAATCCTCTGGTCCCGATCCAAGACCTTGTCCACGTTCAAACGCATGATATCCACCACCTGAGAGGAATGTGGACACAGAGCTGCAGGCCGGGCACTGCCACACATGCCTGCAATCCCAGCTATTCAAGAGGCTGAGATCCGAGGATCAAGGTTTGAGGCCAGGCCGGGCAGGCAGGAAAGTCTGTGGGACTCTTTATCTCCGATGACACCCCCTTCCCTCCCCCCAAAAAAGCCACCACTGGATCTATGGTTCAAGTAGAGTGCCAGTCTCAAGCAAGAAAACCCTCAGGGATGGTGCACAAGCCTTGGGTTCAAATCCCAGGACTGGCACAAAAAAGTAAAAAGAAGCTGTTGAGATTCTTCTGAGAGACAGAGAAAAGTAATGGCTGGCGGACCAGAGCCTCATCTGTCACTTTAAGAGATGCTTTGCTCCCCTACAGACAGACATAATGTCCCCTTGGGTTAGAAATCTCTCCCAGAGGCTGGGAGTGTGGCTCAGTGGTAGAGCGCTCGCCTCGCATGCGTGAAGCCCTGGGTTCGATTCCTCAGTACCACATACGCAGAAAGAGCTGGAAGTGGTGCTGTGGCTCAAGTGGTAGAGCGCCAGCCTTGAGCACAGAGAGGCTCAGAGATAGAACCTAGGCCCTGAGTTCAAGCCCCAGGACTGGCAGAAAGAAAAAGAAAACTGAGAAATGGCTGTGCGCCTACCTCCTCCACCTGTGCCTGGTTTTGCTGCAGCCGTCTGTTGCTGGTCAAGCTGGGAGGGGGGCCGGGGGGACCCCCACCAGGGGCGGCCCCTTCTGCCCCTTCCGCGGGCGGCTGAGCTGGTGGAGCGGACCTGGGAGTGAGTTGAGCCGGGACACACAGCAATCAAGACCAGAGTCGGATCTAGCTGCACCCCGTACAACCCAAGCGATTCCAGTTAGGTGACAGACAAATAGAAGGAACGCTAGGGCCCGGGGGATTCTGGGAGGGGGAGAGAGGGGCACAGAGGCCAGGAGGAGCAGCGGAAGCGTTCTGCCACAGCGTGTGGATTAGTCCCAGGGGGCTAACGTCTCACAGACCTTCCTGCCTGGGCTGGCTTTGAACCGCGATCCTCAGATCTCAGCCTCCTGAGTAGCTGGGAGTACAGGCGGGAGCCACCAGTGTGGGCTTATGTGTGCATTTGGGGCAGAGGAGGTAAGAGTTTCACATCGACCGGATCTGGGCCCCAAAGTAATTGCATTAGCGACGCTAACTGTTCCAAAAGCCCAGAAAATGAATGCTCAGGAAAGAACCCTCGATGCCAGGAGATCAGAGCGCGTCTGCACCTCCCTCCTCCCCATCTGGCAGACTCTCGGGACACCGAGTCTCCTGTGTCATAAGGAGAAATCTTGGTCTGGAGCTGTTTATACACAAAGGCCTTTCACTTTTGGTACCCGCCCCCCAAAAGCTAAGGGTCTCTAGTGTGCAGTCTTCAAAGTAACCTTTTCTCTGTTGGATGCTGGTGGCTCATTCCTGTCTTCCCAGTTGCTCAGGAGGCTGAGATCTGAGGTTTGTAGCTTGAAGCCAGCCCAGGTAGGAGGAGGCTAAGAGAGTTTTGGTTTTGGTTTTGTTTTTTGCCAGTCCTGGGACTTGAACTCAGGGCCTGAGCTTCTTTTGCTCAAGGCTAGTGCTCTACTACTTGAGCCACAGCACCACTTCCGGCTTTTTCTGCATATGGGGTACTGAGGAACCAAACCCAGGGCCTCATGCATGCTAGGCGAGCGCTCTACCACTGAGCCACGCTCTACCACTGAGCCACCTCCCCAGTCCCTGAGAGACTCTTACCTTCAATGAACCACCAAAAAGCCAGAAGTGGCGCTGTGGCTCAAGTGGTAGTGTGCCAGCCTTGAGTGAAAAAGCTCCGGGACAGCTCCCAGACCCAGAGTTCAGGTCCGGGGGTCCACACATACACCCCAAACCTCCCCAGAACAGGTCTAGAAAAAAACACACTAGTCACAAAGCCACCTCAAAGGAAATCCCTTGACTAATCCCTGAGAGATCCTACCGGGCAGATGTGATTTCTTATTATCTCCATTTCAAAAAGAAATCTCTTCCACGTTTTCCTCTAACACACAAAGCAAGACACAAAGCAGAGGACCCACGAGTGGCCGGTGCTGCTGCTGAGCTAGCTTAAGGCACCTCCTGCTGTGCTGAAGGCTTGAACACAATGAGAACCAAGCAGCAGAGCTAGCAGCCACCGGGTCCAGCACAGTGGGACTAAAGATGACATTCTGGCCGGCACCGGTGGCTCCCGCCTGTCATCCCAGCTACTCAGGAGGCTGAGATCTGAAGATCAAGGTTCAAAGCCAGCCCTGGGAAGAAAGTCCGTGAGACTCTGATTTCCAGGTTAGCACTAAGAAGGTGGGGGAGCTGTGGCTCAAGTGGGAGAAGCACCAGCATTGAGTGAAAAAGCTGAGGGACAGCGCCAAGGTCCCGAGTTCAAGCCCCAGGACTGGCACAGAGCGCCCATGCGTCCGCGGGTGTGTGTCGTCCTGGGGATCTGCGGTCGCGCGTGTCGCTGGTGATGTTTGGGGACTGAAGTGTATGTGTTGGAGGGAGGAGGGAATGTTCTGGGGTCCTTCCGTCTCTTCCCTGCTGGCCTAGGCAGCTCACCTGGCACCAGGGACCCGGCAGGGGAAGGTTCTGGAGCTTTGCTGTCATGAAGTGGGGGGGGGGGGAGGTGTCACACTAAAAGTGGGTCCATGAATTAATCCCGGGATGCAGGGGGGGGAAGGGGGAAGGGGCAGGCCGGGGTCCCCGAGTGTGGGGGCCCCCCATGGTGGTCTCCAGGCCCCCTCGGTGGTCTCAGGCCGGGGTCCCCGAGTGTGGGGGCCCCCTGGTGGTCTCCAGGCCCCCCATGGTGGTCTCCAGGCCCCCCCGGTGGTCTCCAGCCCCCCCATGGTGGTCTCCAGCCCCTTCCGGTGGTCTCCAGACCCCCCGTGGTGTCTCAGGCCGGGGTCCCCGAGTGTGGGGGCCCCCCCGGTGGTCTCTCGGCCCCCCCGGTGGTCTCTCGGCCCCCCCGGTGGTCTCCAGGCCCCCCCGGTGGTCTCTCGGCCCCCCTGGTGGTCTCCAGGCCCCCCCGGTGGTCTCTCGGCCCCCCTGGTGGTCTCCAGGCCCCCCCGGTGGTCTCCAGCCCCCCCCCCCGGTGGTCTCCAGGCCCCCCCGGTGGTCTCCAGGCCCCCCCCGTGGTCTCCAGGCCCCCCGTGGTGGTCTCCAGGCCCCCCGTGGTGGTCTCCAGCCCCTCCAGGTGGTCTCCAGCCCCTCCCGGTGGTCTCCAGCCCCTCCCGGTGGTCTCCAGCCCCCCCCTGGTGGTCTCCAGGCCCCCCTGGTGGTTTCCAGGCCCCCCATGGTGGTCTCCGGGCCCCCCCACCTTCCCCTTTGCGGGGTACGGGAGGGTTCCGTTAAGACCTGCAGAGCGGTGGGGGGTGCAAGGACCGCGGGGCCGTGGGGTGCGGGCTGTGGGGATGGGGTGCTGCCCCCCCGCCCCGCAGAGCCCCGCGCTGGGGGACCGGAGCCGGCAGGGAGGTGCCGAGCACCCCGATGTCCGTCCACTCACATTTCTCTGGCGGGGAATCTGGGGGTCCGTGTCCGCTCCCCGGGGCGGCGGCGGGAAGACGCCGTTGGCAGCGGTGGAACTTGTTGCAGTGGCCCAGCGCGGCCCCGCCTTTATGGGTGCGGGTCACGCCTCCTCGAGGATATTGACAGCCGCTTGGTCCAATCGACACGCAGGGAGGCTGAGCGTGCGACAGGGCAGGAAGGGAATACCGGCTCTCGGCCAATCGCTGGGCTGGCCGCTCCTGTCAATCATCCCGCTCCAGCTGACTGGAGCGATAACAGCGGGACCGGGGAGTCCTGCGGGGAGGGGGCGTGGCTCAGCAGGGGGCGTGGCTCGGCAGGGGGCGTGGCTCGGCAGGGCGCACGCGCTGGTGCCCGCGGAGCGGGTGCGGGGTTCGGATCTCATCCGTTCCTTCACCCCGAAACCTGTCTCCAAGTTGGGTTCTCAGTGGACTGGAGCCATCCGAGGCCCCAGCCCGCTGCGGAGCCGGCCAGCCAGTCCACCTGCTCTTCCTGACTCCGTCTCTGGGCTTTTCTTGCTCCAGGCGGGCGCTCTACCGCCTGAGCCACGGCGCCACTTCCGGCTTTTTCTGCTTCCGTGGTGCTGAGGAATCGAACCCAGGGACTCATGCATGCGAGGCGAGCGCTCTACCACGGAGCCACCTGCCCAGCCCCCAAGTCCTAGTTCTTGACCTCAGGGCCTGGACACTATCCTGGAGCTTTTGTGCTCAGGGCTAGTGCTGAGCCACACCGCATTAGTCTCAGACTTTCCTGCCAGGGCTCTCTGAACTGTGCTGCTCAGATCTCAGGCTCCTGAGGAGCTGGGATGACAGGTGTTGAGCTCCCAGCGCCCAGTTTAGGTTTTGGTTTTTTAAGACTTGATCTCACAAGGCAGCCGGGCTGGCCTCAAACTTTCCATCCCCAGCGCTGGGATTGCAGGTGTGCAGCACCGTACCCGGCTCTGAGAGTGGTTCATGATTCATGTTGTTGTTTCGGTGTTGGATGTCTGTGAGTTTCCACTTGAGGTAGTTCTGTGTACATTACCACCCTGGGCTTCCATGACAGAATTTCCTACTGAGACAGAACTGTCCCTCTCTGGAACACTCTGGAATCTTCCAAGCTTCAGTTACTCATTTGGCAAGCTTAGGATGCTCCTAAGTACATATGACAAATGCAGTATGACCTCTGTGTGACTAATAGCTATGATGAAGCATCCGAGGTAGATGCTAAAACGCCAGAAGAAAACAAATGTGCCTCTTAGAATTAATGAAAAAGATTCGGCTTCAAGTCTTGTACTTCCAGATTCTGTGCATCTAGAGCAATCACCATCCTGCTTAAATCCTCACGCAGTGCCTTTGAATATGAGCCAGGGCTGGTGGCTCACGCCTGTAACTGTAGCTACTCAGGAGTCAGAGGCCTGGGGGATCAAGGTTTGAAGCCAGCAAAGGCAGAATAGGCTGAGCACTGAGTATCCCCCCCCCCCCCCCCCCCCAGTCCTGGGGCTTGAACTCAGGGTCTGGGCGCTGTCCCTGAGCTTCTTTTTCTCAAGGCTAGTGCTCTACCACTTGAGCCACAGCGCCACTTCTGGCTAGGCAAGCACTCTACCATCAAGCTACATTCCCAGCTCAGTTTGAGACTTATCTCACATAAGCCAGGAAAAGGGAAGAGTGGAGACATGGCTGAGGTAGTAGAGCACCAGTCATCAGCAAGAAAAGCATATGAAGGTACAAGGCTCTGAGTTCCAGCCTATGTTCACACACAGGAAAGTGAAATCTGGTACTCAGTGAGGTGACTGAAAAGGTTGGATTTGAACCTGTGGCCTCCAGGGTGCCCCTGTAATACAGGGCTGAATGAATGCAGAAAAGGCAACAAAAGACTCCCACATAAACCTCAAAGCCCAAAGGACTATATACCCTTATGCATATATATATTATATACCCACACTGCCCTTAGGGGACTGCTGGTGGCTCCTTCATGCCTGCAATCCTAGCTTCAGAAGACTGAGGTTTGAGAATCACAGTTCAAGCCAGCCCAGGCAGGAAAGTCTGTGAGACTTTATTTCCCAATTAACCATCAAAAACCCAGAAGCAGAGCTGTGGCTCAAGTGGTAGAGCACCATCCTTGAGCAGAAAAAAGGTAAGGGACTGTGCCCAGACTAACTTTAAACTCCAGTACTGGTAACAAAGGAAATAAAGTATTTGCAAAGAACATACAACACAGAGTCCTGTTTTGTTTTCTCCTCCCTGAATTCCTTGTTTTATTCTCTTTTGAAAGCTTGTAAGATATCTCTACTTCCTAAATACTAATTGACAAGAATTTGAAATGATTCATGGGCCTGGTGGCACGGCCAAGCGCCCAGGAGAAGCGAGGCCAACCTTGGACCAGCACACCTTCCATCCAGGCCTTGGGAATTTTCCACAGAAACTGTGCCAAGAGAAATAAATTGGAGTTCCAGACTGCAAACCAAGAAAGTGCCAAGAATAAGAATCAAGAGAGACAGAGGATAAAAAGAAGGGAAATTAAAAAATCAGGCCAAATGCTCCATTACCTGATTAATAAAGAATCTAAAAAGAGCCGGGCGCCGGTGTCCTGTAATCCCAGCTTCTCAGGGGCTGAGAAGTGAGGGAGGTGGTTTGAAGCCAGTGTGCGCAGAAAAGTCACAAGTGGAGCTGTGGCTCAGGTGGTAGAGCGCCAGCCTTGAGCTCAAAAGCCCAAAGACAGTGCCCAGGCCCTGAGTTCAAGCCCCAGGATGGCACAGAAAAGAAAGAAATGAACTCTGGAGCCGCAGGAGTGCGCTGGGTACTGAGAGGTTCCAAGGCAGCCCTTAGTTATTACGGAAAGCGTGCTGCACCCTCCCCTCGGGCGCGTCCTGGGCCCCGGCCCGGCCCGGCCACCCCGGCGTCCCCGCGTCCCCAGCGCGTCCCTAGCGGTGCTTGCCGCGGCGGTTGAAGTGTTTGTAAAGGTATCGGATGCGCTTGTTAAGGTTGTGCCAGTCCTCCAGGAACATTCTGTTTCCCACCATTTTCTTCTTCCTGATGCAGCGCTGCAGTTCATTCCCCTTCCAGCCCCGCAGCCACACGGGGCCGCGGATCAGTTCCTTGGGATGCTTCTCAAAGTTTCCTGGGGGATGGAAGAGAGGGTAGTCATGTCAGGACTGGAGGACCGAGTGTGTGTGGTGAGCCAGGAGTGGTGCTGCACGCCTGGAATCCCAGCCCTGACATATGGAGACCCTGACTACTCTCCAGGCAAGAGAACCCAACAGTTGCAGCTTCCTGAGCAGAGCTTGTGCAGAAGTCATGTTCTCAGGAGGCTGAGATCTGAGGATTGGGGTTCAAGGCCAGCCTGAGCGAGGGAAAAAGGCCATGGGACTCTTACATCCCTGTGGGGCTGAGGAATCGAACCCACGGCCTCATACATGCGAGGTGAGCACTCTACCACTGAGCCACCTTCCCAGCCCAATTTGTTTGTTAACGGTAAAGTCCAGCGTGGCCGGCAGACCAGCGCCTCCCAGGAGTAGGTGCGGGGCCGCCTCACCGAGGATCCCAATGTTGTCATAGACGCCGAACAGAGCCCGCTTCTCGTCCCAGCGGTCGACCTCTCGGGGAGGCGGGAGGGTGCGCCTTATGAAGTAGTTCCTGGGGACACCTGCGACCGGGCGGGAGGGACCCAATCAGAGCTGTCCACGGGGGGGGGGCCACGTCAATCAATCAGAGCTGTCCACGGGGGGGGGGGGCACGTCAATCAATCAGAGCTGTCCACGGGGGGGGGCACGTCAATCAATCAGAGCTGTTGGGGGGGGCACGTCAATCAATCAGAGCTGTCCACGGGGGGGGGGGTGTGGACACGTCCGTCGGTCGGAGCTGTCCGGGGGGGGGGTGGACACGTCCGTCGGTCGGAGCTGTCGGGGGGGGGGGGGGGACACGTCCGTCGGTCGGAGCTGTCGGGGGGGGGGGGACGCGTCCGTCGGTCGGAGCTGTCCGGGGGGGATGGACACGTCCGTCGGTCGGAGCTGCCCGGGGGGGACGCGTCCGTCGGTCGGAGCTGTCCGGGGGGGGGGGGGGGGGACGCGTCCGTCGGTCGGAGCTGCCCGGCCGGGGTCGGCAGGCGGAGCCGTCCAGCCCCGATCTCGGCGTGGACCCGCGGGTCGCGCCCCGCTCACCCGCGGAGAAGCTCCTGCCGGCCGCGGGCAGCCAGCCCCGCAGCGCCGCGCGCAGCCCCGCGCACAGGGCCGCCGCCATGGCCGGGCCCCCACGCGCACGCGCAGACCCGGACGGCGACGACGCCGCCGAGAGGCCGGGTCCGGCGCGGGGCTCGCGGCGAGGGGCCGCGGGCCGCCACCTCAGCCCCTCCCGGCGAGCACTGCGCTGCCGCTACGCGCGGCCCCGCCCTCCAGCTTCCGGCCGCCAGCCCGCCCGTCCGAGCGGCTTCCGGTCTGCACACCGGAAGTTCGGGAGCGCTCCGGAGACGCCGCAGGGCGTCTGCGGTGGAATCACCCCACCTCCGCCTCCCCGGGCACCCTCAGCCAGAGCATGCAGCCGAGTCCTTGTGGCGCCCTGGCCGTTCATTACGGGGACAGGGCGGACTTGAGGCGGCACCGAGCGGAGGAGATGGCAGAGCGCGACCCCCGTGCCCGACACTGCCGCCGCGGCCTCTTCCCGCGGACCCGACGGGCTGGGGCGGGGCCTGGCGCTCAGCCCGCCCTGTGATTGGCCGGCTCTGCCAGCGGCCGTCGGGATTGGTCGGCTTGCAGCCGTTGGGGTTTTTGAACGCTCCGTGGGTGGTTTTTGCCCGCGCTTCGCCGCGCCCGGCTCAGAGGGCGGGCCTTTTGTCCTCCCTTGCTCGGGATTGGCCAGATTCTCCGCCAACTTGGAAAGCTGCCTCTCTGATTGGTGCGCGTGGTGCAGTCGTGTTTTCGTGAATCCCTCGCAGCCCCGCGGCTCAGGTCTGGGGAAGCCGCGTAGCCAGGTGAGCGGCCCGGGGTTCTGAATGGGAGGAGCGGGGGCCGGGGCCGGGCGTCGTGGGTTCGGCCTGCAAGTCGGCCCGGGGAGGGCTCGATGTGGGTGGAAAGTTCACCCTGACCAGAATGGCGGCAAGATGGAGAGTTGGGTTCAGGCTCGCCGTCCGATCTCGGTCTCCGTGCTGAGCGAGGCGAGATCCCGGGGTCCGGAGACCTCGGCAGGGGCCGTGCGGGGCAGCGGCCTGGTGCCCGGGGCCGCCTCCCCACGCGTGACGGGCTCCGCAGGTTAAAACAGCCGAGAGCAACGCCCCAATCCTCCCCGCGCCCCCACTCACCGCGCTGATCCTCGGAGCAAGGTCGTGAGGCTCACGCCCGTCATCCCGACTGCCCCGCAGGCCGAGATCGGAGGATCGCGGTTCGAAGCCAGCCCGGGCAGGAAAGTCCATGAGACTCTCTGATCTCCCATCAGGCCACTAGAAAACCTGAAGTGGCGCTGTGGCTCAAGCGGGAGAGCGCCCGCCTGGAGCTGAAGAGCCGAGGGACGGCGCCCAGGCCCAGAGTTCCAGTCCATTCTCTAGCCTGCGGAAAGCCCCGAAGTGGCGTTCCGGCACCAGTGACATAGCGCACCAGGCTAGAGTGAAGAAAAGGCACAAGGCCCAGGCAAAGCCTGTAATCAGAGCTAAGAAACGAAGTGACGTGGACCCACAGTAGCAAAATCAGGACAAAAATTAGGTCCTGCCTTATTTCTTCTTCAATACTAGGACTTTGAACTCGGGTCCTTAGGCTTGCTAGGTAAGCATTTTACCACGTAAGTCTCGCTGCCAGCCATGATGACATCTCAAAAGTGAATGCTAGCAGCTAATTGTAAGACTATGCAAGAGGTGTCAGTGGCTCACGCCTGTAATCCTAGCTACTCAGGAGGCTGAGATCAGAGGATCAGGGTTCAAAGCCAGCCCGGGCAGGAAAGTCCATGAGTCTCTTATCTCCATTAGACCACTAGAAAGCCAGAAGTGGCGCTGTAGCAAGAGCGGTAGAGCGATCGCCTTGAGCTGAAGAGTGCAGGGACAGCGCCCAGGCCCAGAGTTCAAGTCCTACGACCAACCCTCCCCCCCCAAAAAAAGACTATGTATTGGGGATGTTGTTGAACCAGATGAAAAGTCGCCTTAGATTTACACTCTCACGGTTATTTTTGATTTCCAGCCCTGTGAACCAGTTTTAGAATTATGGCCCCCCAGCTGTGTGAGTTCCATCTCCCCTTGTCCCCTGAGGATTTATTAAGAAGTGGAGGCGTGAATCAGTATGTTGTCCAAGAGGTACTGCCCATCAGACAGCTGCAACCCCAGCTTAAAGGTAAGATGTGCAGCTGCCCTTATTTCTGGCATGTGAAAATGAGCGTTGCGACGCTCCGTGAGGGCTGGGTCATCTGATAGTCTTGGTGAAGATGATTCCTCATTGGGAGAAACAGTTTTAAATTCTTACCCTTTACCATATACTAAGGCACAGTACTAGTAGATTGAAGGCTAACAGGAAGTTGGGTGCTGGTGGCTCCCGCCTGTCATCCTAGCTACTCAGGAGGCTGAGATCTGAGGATCGTGGTTCAAAGCCAGCCCAGGCATGGAAATCTGAGAGAATCTTATCTCCAATAAACCACCAGAAAACCAAAAGTGGTGCCGTGTCTCTAGTGGTAGAGCACTCACCTTGAGCTGAAGAGCTGAGGGACAGCGCCCAAGCCCAAGTTCAAGCCCCATGACCAAAAGAAAAAGAAAAAAAGATACGTGCCTCACTGACCTTCCTTCCTGGGCTGACTTCAGACTGGGATCCTCAGCTCTCAGCCTCCTGAGTAGCTGGGATTACAGGCATGAGCCACAGCACCCAGGATAGGAAGTGATATCTTACAGGATCACTGTCAATTCTGAGGTGTGTTGTTCGTGAAATGTCATTGTGGTGTGTGTGGTGCTTAAATTTGTGAAGAAGAAATTGCAAAAGAAGAAAATAATTGCAAAGAAGAAAAACTATAGTTGGAGAAATGTGGCCAGCACTACCAAAAGATCAAAGTTAACATCATTACTAATAAGAGATTGCTGCTATGGATCTCTCTTGGTTTTTTTCTTCGTTTTTTGGGGTACTGGGGGTTGAGGCTAGGTCTTTGGACTGGTTGGGCAGGTACTTTAGTGCTTGTGTCACCTTACCCCCCCCCCCCCAATTCATACTTTGTTTTCGTGCATTTTTTTTCCATTTTTGAGGTAAGGGCTAGCTAATTGCCCATTGAACCCTTGACCCTCCCTTCTCGACCTTGAGAGTAGCCGGGATTACTGACATGTGCCACCAAACCCACCACGTACCGTTTCTTTTTCTTTTTGTGCTAGTCCTTGAACGTGAGATCTGGGTGCTGTTCCTTTTTTATTCAAGGGAAGGGCTCTACCACCTGAGCCACAGCTCCATTTCTAGCTTTTCAGTGGAAATATGTTTCTCAGACTTGCCCTTTGGGGCTAGCTTTGAACCTGGATCCTCACATCTCAGCCTCTTGTGTATCCAGGATTTTAGGTGGGAGCCACGGGTGATATGGTTCGTGAGAACGACCCGGCCCTTCCTTCGGTGATAGTCTAGCGAAAAATGCATGACCCTAATACAATTGTGAGAAAATTATTAAGCTGGCATAGTAGCGCATGCCTACAATCTCAGCACAGGAAAGGTAGAGGCAAGAGGATTACACGGTAAGTGAGTTCCAGGCCAGCACCATCCACAAGGCCCCTGCCCACCAAGGGCTAAGTGTGTAGCTTAGTGGTAAAGAGCTTGTCTAGCATGCACAAAGCCCTGTTAATCCTCAGCACTATTAAATAAGTAAATGAGCAAATAAATAAACAAGAGCCGAGTGCCCGTGGCTCACGCCTATAATCCTAACTACTAGTGAAACTAGATTCAACATTTCAACTTGGAGACGGCCTAGGCCGGCTAATTCATTAGCACGAAAACTGCACTCAGAAGCTGGAAGGTTTGTGATAGAGGACCAGTTTTGAGGGAAAATGCTGCGTAAGATAGCACAAAGCTAGAGTCCCAGCCCCAGGACCAGCACCAAAAAGGAAAAGAAAGAGAAGCATCAGGCAAAGCCTTATTGAGGGTAATGTACAAAATAACTCGGAAGGAAGACTAAGATGTCAGTGCAGTTTTGGACAGGACTCATCAAGAAGGTTTTTCCCTTCAGATTAACCACTTCCTTTTTTTTTTTTTGCCAGTCCTGGGGCTTGATCTCAGGGCCTGGGCGCTGTCCCTGAGCTTCTTTTGCTCAAGGCTAGCACTCTACCTCTTGAGCCACAGCGCCACTTCTGGCTTTTTCTGCTTACGTGGTGCTGAGGGATCGAACCCAGGGCCTCATGCATGCTAGACGAGCACTCTACCACTGAGCCACCTGCCCAGCCCCTGCGCGCTCTCTTGTCTTCACAGCATTTCAGGCTGCCTTCCGAGCCCAGGGGCCACTTGCTATCCTCCAGCACTTCGATACTGTCTACAGCATCTTACAGTAAGTAAAATCGCCCCCTTGCCAGGCGCCGGTGCTCACGCCTGTAATCCCAGCTACTCAGGAAGCTGAGATCTGAGGACCAAAGTTCAAAGCCAGCCTGGGTAAGAAAGCTTGGGAGACGCTATCTCCAGTTACTACCAGAAAGGTAGAAGTGGAGCTGTAGCTCAAGAAGTAGCTAGTCTTGAACAAAAACGCTCAGGAACTGAGTTTAAGCCCCAGGACTGGTACACACACACACATACACACACACACACACGCACACACACACACACACACACGTCAGTTGAATCTGTGGCTCAAGTGGTAGAGTGCCAGCCTCGAGCAAAAAAATCCAGGCTCTGAATTCAAGCCCCAGTATAGGCGTACACACAGCTAAAAGCATTAGGGAACGCTGTTTGCCAGTGTGTTGTTTGGTTGTGGGATTTCCTGTGTGTTTTCAAGCCTTGGGATCCTCAGGTTAGCTGTGCTGTGTTAGAATGGGCCCTGTGGTTCCCCGTCTCACTCCCACACTTGCCTTTGTTTTTTTATATCAGTCTTGGGGCTTGAACTCAACAGCCTGAGCACTGTCTCTGAGCTGTTTGTACTCCAGGCTAGCGCTATTATTTGAGCCACAACTTCACTTCCAGCTTTTTGTTGTTCATCAGAGATAAGAGTCTCAGGGACTTTCCTCCCTTGGCTGTCTTTGAACTGTGATTCTCAGCCCTCCCGGGTAGCCAGGATTACAGGCGTACGCCACCATGCCCGGATTCACACTTCCTTTCTCTTACAGTCACTTTCGAAATGTCGATCTGGGTCTCAAGGAAGAAACTCTGGAATTCCTGATAAAAGGTGCTCTAGGGATCCTGGGGCAGAGAACTGGGGGGGGGGGGGGTATAAATTCCTGATGCTGTGGGGTGTCTGTTTACTGCCCTCCTCCCTCGTCGGCCAGATGATGATGAGCAGGCTGTGGTGATTCAGTGTGCCGGCTAAGTTCTAGGCCCTTTGTCCTGTCGAGGTCTGTAATCTTGGTGAGCGTTGCAGAGTTGTGTGCGCTCGCTGTAAGGGCAGACCAACATGAATTCCTTCCTACTTTGGAGCCGCCTCTCTTTCATGGGAGGGGCTCTTCCGGTTGCCCGGGAGACGGCAAGGCAGCTGGAGTTGGAGTAGGAACAGGGCTTGCTTCGATTTCCATGGAGGGCAGAGGGTCTGTAAGGACTTAGCCCTGTGAGCGGCCACTGGAGATGACACACACATCTTTGGTAATCTGATGGCTGCAGGCTGGAGGCGTTTTGAAGTTGGGGGGGGTGGGATGCTGGTGCTCAGACCTGTCATCCCAACTACTCAGGAGGCTGAGATGCGCAGAGCATCGGGCAAAGCCAGCCCAGCAGGAAAATCCAGGAGACTCTTTCTTTCCTCCCATGAACCCCCCAGAAAACCAGAAGTGGTGCTCTGGCTCAAAGTGGTAGAGCGCTGGCCTTGAGCAAAAGAGCTCAGGGACAGCGCCCAGGCCCCAGGGGTGATGTTTCGTTTTGTAAAGTAATTGGCATCTTCTGCCGTCCCAGTGGTGTCCCGGCATTCCCAGGAGCTTCCGTCCATCCTGGATGATGCAGCGTTGAGTGTGTCAGAGAGAAGCAGCCATCTTAATGCCCTCAAGATGAACTGCTACGCGCTCATCCGCCTCCTGGAATCCTTTGAGACCATGAGCAGCCAGACAAGCCTCCTGGGCCTGGACGTGGCGGGGAAGGTAATGGGGCTTCCTGCCTCGCTTTTTCTCATTGGGGGCCAGTCCTGGGCTTGAATTCAGGGCCTGGGATTGTTTTACTTTTTTTCCCTCAAGGCTGCTGCTCCACCCCTTCAGCCACAGCTCCCTTTCTGGCTTTTTGGGGGTACTTAGTTGGAGATAAAGGTCTCATGGACTTTCCTATCCAAGCAGGCTTTGAACTCCAACCCTCAGATCTTAGGATCGCAGGAGTGAGCCACCAGCACCTGATGATTCTTTATTATTACTATTACTATTTTGCCAGTCCTCAGGCTTGAGTCTAGGACCTGAGCACTGTCCCTGAGCTTTTTTACTCAAGGCTAATGCTCTACCACCTGCACCACAGATCGCCTAGCATGCATGAAGCCCTAGGTTCAATTCCTCAATACCACATAAACAGAAAAAGCCACAAGTGGCGCTGTGGCTCAAGTGGTAGAGTGCTAGCCTTGAGCAAAAGAAGCTCAGGGACAGTGCTCACACCGAGTTCAAACCCCAGGACCGTCCAAACAAAAAAAAGTCTTCATGCTGGTGGTTCATGCCTGTCATCCTAGCTACTAAGGTGGCTGAGATCTGAGGATCATGGTTCGAAGCCAGCCCAGGCGGGAAAGTCCATGAGACTCCTTTCTCCCATAAACTATTCAGAAAAGGCCAGGAGTGGTGCTCTGGCTCAAGTGGTGGAGTGCTGGCTTTGAGCACAAAAGCTCAGAGACAGCGCCCAGGCTCTGAGTTCAAGTCCCAGGACCAGCCAAAAAAAAGTCTCAGGGACTTTCCTGCCGAGGTTGGCTTCAAACTTGGATATTCAAATCTCAGCTTTCTGGGTAGCTAGGATTCCAGGCGTGAGCCACCTGGGCCTTGGCGCTACCCCGGAGCTGCTTTTGCTCACTGTGGATGAGAGGAAGGGACTATTGCCAACGGCATGTGGTCCCGCGTCAGGTGAAGGAGGAAGGACTCGAGGTTCACAGCATGTTCTCCAGACAGGCCATTCTTCTGCGTTTTGGAGTTTGAAGTGCTTCTGTGTCTCCTACTTGCTTCGATCCTTAAAGCGCACACAGACCTTCAGACCCGGACCCTCTTGGATCTTTCCTGAGTGTGCGCCTGCTCTTTTTAGGGTAAAAAGGCCCGATCCAAAGCGGCCCAGGGCTTCGATTGGGAGGAGGAGAGACAACCAATTCTGCAGCTGTTAACGCAGCTGCTCCAGTTGGACATCCGTCACCTGTGGAACCACTCAGTGATCGAAGAGGAGTTTGTCAGGTGAGTCGTAGAGGCGGGTGCATGGAGCAGCTGAGCCGTGAGGAGTCACTGGTCATGTCTAGAGGGAAGGGGGTAGGACCTGGCCTTGAACTCGGGGCCTCTCATTTTGGCTTAGCTTTCTTGCTCACAGCTGGTGTTCTACCACTTGAGCCAGGCCCCCAGCCCAGCCTTTTGCTGATTAGTTGGCAATGGAGTTGTCACAGACTTTTCTGCTCCGGCTGGCAACCTCTAATCCTCCAGATCTCAGCCTCCTGAGTAGCTCAGATTATGGGCATGCTCCTCTGGCTTTAGAAAAGCCTTTTAAATAACTCCATTTCACGGCTGATGGAGGTGTTAGGGTGGAGAGGGTGGAATGTCAGGAACTGCTGTGAATCCGCCCTCTCGCACGCACATTCATCTATTTGTGAAAAGGTATTGAGAATCCTCTGGGGGTGGGCGCCGATGGCTCACGCCTGTCATCCGCACTACTCAAGCGGATCACAGTTCAAAGCTAGCCTAGGCCGAAAATTCCATGAGGCTCTTTATCTTCAGTTAACAATCCAAAAAAAAAAGCCAGAAGTGCTGGTATGGTTCAAGTGGTAGAGCACCATCCTTGAGCACAAAAGCTCGGGAATAATACCTAAGCCTGAATTCAAACCCCAGGACACCATGTACACACAAAAAGAATCCTCTTGTATATTGTGGGTATCATTATATACACTGGGAATAAGGTTTTGTCCCCGTGGAGTTTACATTATAGAGTAGAAGACAATTATTATTTTTTAATGGTTAGTGGTGGGTCTTGAACTCAGGGCCTGGACTCTGTCCCTGAGCATTTCAGCTCAAGGCGAGCATTCTACCACTTGAGCCACAGCGCCACTTCCGGTTTTCTGATGGTTCATGGGAGATCAGAGTCTCACAGACTTTCCTGCCCCCGATGGTTTTGAACCACACGATCCTCAGATCTCAGCCTCCCGAGTAGCTCGGATGACAGGCGGGAGCAGCAGCCTTTGGTTCTCATGGCTGATTTCCTGTGTTCTTTCTCAGTTTGGTCACCGGCTGTTGCTACCGCCTTCTAGAGAATCCCACGATCAGTCACCAGAAGAACCGGCCCACCCGGGACGCCATCACGCACCTGCTCGGAGTGGCCTTGACGCGGTACAACCACATGCTCAGTACGTCCTCCTCCCGTCATCCCTCACAGTCGCTCCTCTGCTGTTCCGACCCCGGCTTTGTCTTCCCATCATCCCTTGTGGTCCCTCCTCCCATCACCCCTTGCGGTCCATCCTCCGCAGGTGTCACTGTGAAGATCATCCAGCTCCTGCAGCATTTTGAGCACCTGGCCCCGGTGCTGGTGGGGGCTGTGAGTCTGTGGGCCACCGAGTACGGGATGAAGAGCATCGTGGGGGAGATCGTGCGGTGAGTCTCCCTGGCCTGTGGGCGGCGGAGTCGGGACCAGTTGGGCCTTCCTTCTGGCAGCCCTAGATTCCTGCACAGCCTAGATCCACGCTTGCTTTGCCGGCCGGGAGCTGACTGACGGAACTCTTGTCCTGGCTGTGTTCTTCCTCGCGTAGAGAGATCGGCCAGAAGTGTCCCCAGGAGCTGAGTCGGGACCCCTCCGGGGCCAAGGGCTACGCCACCTTCCTCACGGAGCTGGCGGAGCGCATGCCAGCCATCCTGATGGCCAGCATGTGCGTCCTGCTGGATCATCTGGATGGGGAGGTAGGCGGAGAACCCCAGGTTTTTTAAGTATGCTAAAGGTGGAACTTTGGACGTGGTAAATACTCGCCCTACAACGAGCTACACTCTCAGCTGAAAAAGTTGGGTTTTTGTTTCGTTTGTGGATTTTGGGTGTTGGAGCTGTGTTGTTTGGTTTGAGACAGGATCCTGCTGTGTAGCCTAGACTGGCCTAAATCCCAATCCTCTGACATCTGGCATGCCAGGCATGGTAGCACATACTTATAATCCCAGCACTCAGGAGGCTGAGCTCTCCGGATCCCGGGCTGAGCTCTCTGGCCGTCTGAGCAGAAAAGTCTAAGGGACTCTTATTTCCAGTGAAACCAGCAAAAAGCCCAAAATGGAGCTGTGGCCAAGTGGTAGAGCAGGAAAGCACATGGGGCTGAGCCCCATCATTCTTCAGGCTGGTGCCTGGCCGCTGCCTGCCTGGCCAAGCTCACTCCGAACGATAACCTTTGTCAAGTCCACCCCTGGCCCCCTGGCAAGGTGACTGTCAAGGTCAAAGGCAGGCCACACAGTCCTCTAACTTATTGTATAAGAGTCTGTCTGTTCTCTGACTCTCAGCCTGGCAAAACTCCCAAACTCTCTTCTCCCACCAGGTTACATAACAGACTTGCTTTGTACCCAAGGCCTGCGTTCTGCTTTTTTCTTGGATGTTGTCAGTACACTGGGAGAGGCTGTGGGGAAGGAAAGAGTAGGTTTCTCTGTTCACCCACAAACTTAGAGGCTCCAAGAGCTCACATGAAAGGGAAGGAGTTAACCAGGTGTGCCGGTGGCTCACGCCTCTAATCCCAGCTACTCAAGGCTGAGGTGTGAGGATTGTGGTTCAAAGCCAGCCTGGGTAGGAAAGTCCATGAGACTTACTACCTCCAATAAGCCATCAGAATCTCAGAAGTGCTGTGGCTCCAAGTGGAGCAAAAGAATCAGGAACACCACCCAGTCCCTGATTCCTGGACTGAGCTGAGGGACAGCGCCCAGGGCCTGAGTTCAAGCTCCACAACCAACAAAAAAGGAAAGAAACTAGTTAAAATAGTTAATATTTTCTGATGTTAGGATTTCATAATCAAGTGCAGGTTAAGGCATCCAGAACTCTTTAAGTCTAGAAGAGTAAAATCTGAAACTTGGAAACATCAACTCGATACCACAAGTAGACACTTGGTTTCGTGCATATCGTCACTGGAATGTTCTAGAAGATGCCCTCTCTGTACACGATGAATTCTCTGTTTCGACTTGAGTTGCATTCCCTAAATTCCTTGTCATAGACACCCATGCATTCCAAAATCAAAAAAAGGAAAGAAGTAAAATTTCAGTGCGCACCTTTTCACAGAGAACCACTGAACACCATGTTTCCCGAACCACCTGGAGAAAAGTTGGTTTTGATTCACGCACTTGTGTTTTTGGTGCTTGTCCTGGGGCTTGAACTCAGGGCCTGGGCGCTGTCCCTCAGCTCTTCAGCTCAAGGCTGGCACTCTACCACTTTGAGCCACGGCTCCACATCCGGTTTTCTGGTGGTTTCTTGGAGATCAGAGTCTCACGGCCTTTCCTACCCAGGCTGGCTTTGAACCTCGACCCTCAGATCTCAGCCTCCCGAGAAGCTGGGATGACAGGCGTGAGCCAGCAGCACCTGGCTCTCCACTCACTTAACTTTCTTTCTACAAGCAAACAAGGCCCCTCTCAGATTCCGCCATCTCCTAGAACCTTGTGGCCAAATACCTAGGCAGTTAAGCAGCGGCGTCACAGCCGGGCACAGGCACGCTTGAGCTCTGCCCGAGACTTGAACCCACGTTGTGCAGGGTGGATGCTTGCTTCCGGTGGGGAGAGGAGCCCACACCGCCTTCTGATCTTTCTGTCAGAACTACATGATGCGCAACGCCGTGCTGGCAGCCATGGCGGAGATGGTGCTGCAGGTCCTGAACGGAGACCAGTTGGAAGAAGCCGCCCGGGACACGAGAGACCAGTTCCTGGACACGCTGCAGGCCCACGTCCACGACGTCCACTCCTTCGTGCGCAGCCGCGTGCTGCAGCTCTTCACCCGCATCGTCCAGCAGAAGGTGAGCCGCTCTGCACGTGCTCACGGCGAGAGGCCGAAGTAAAGACAATGTCCAGAGCTGAGCGCTGCGCCTCCCGCCTGGAATCCCAGCCATTCGGGAGGCTGAGATCAGAGGATCACAGTGGGAAGGCGACCCAGGCAGAAAAAGTCCGTGAGACTCCTCTCTGATGAACTACCAGAGAGTTAGGAGCACAGAGCAGTAGCTCGAGTAGTGCTCAGGGACAGCACCCAGGCCCTGAGTTCAAGCCCTAGGACTAGCACAGGAAATGAAAAGAATTCAGGTGATCCAAAGAGGACTGTAGATTGGAATTTAGTTAGCAATCACTTGTAGACTTATGTATCAGTAGTTACAATAACACAAATCTTTTTTTTTTTTTTTTCTGTCAGACAAGGGGCTTGAACTCGGGCCTACACACTGTCCCTGTGGTCTTTTGCTCAAGGCTAGTGCTCTACCACTTTGAACCACAGCTCTACTTCCAGTTTTTGAGGTATTAACTGGAGATAAGAATCTCATGGAAAGCCGGGTGTTGGTGGCTCTTGCCTTTAATCCCAGCTACTCAGGAGGCTGAGATCTCAGGATCATGGTTCAAAGCCAGCCCGGGTAGTTAAGTCCCGGCAGTTAAGTCCGTGAGACTCTGATCTCCAATAAACCACCAGAAAACTGGAAGTGGCGCTGTACCTCAAGTGGTAGAGCGCTGATCTTGCACTGAAGAGCTGAGGGACAGTGCCCAGGCCCAGAGTTCAAGCCCCATGACCCACAAAAAACAGAATCTCATCAAAACTTTTCTCTGCCCTAGGCTGGCTTTGAACCTCAGTTCTCAGATCTCAGCCTCCTAAGTAGCTAGGATTACAGGTGTGAGCTACTGGCACCAGGCAATACTACAAATCTTTTGAGATGGGAAGGTGGCTTTGTGGCAGAGCGCTCGCCTAGCATGCATGAAGCCCTGGGTTCAATTCCTCAGTACCACATACACAAAAAGCCAGAAGTAGTACTGTGGCTCAAGTGGTAGAGCACTAGCCTTGAGCAAAAGAAAAGCTCAGGGACAGTGCTCAGGCCCTGAGTTCAAGCCCCAGGACTGGCAAAAACAAAAAGACAAACCTTTTTATAAGATCTGTATTGTTACATTGTATTTACAATCTTACATTGTTATAGTTTATAATCATAAAATAATTCTCAGGAAAACTGTGCCTAGCTCCACAGAAGGACTATATTGAGGCTTAACCTTCCTCAAACAATGCTACTTACATATTTTTATAATGCCACAGGCAGCGTGTGTGTGTGTGTGTGTGTGTGTGTGTGTGTGTGTGTGTGTGTGTGTGCACGCACACGTACGTGCACATGCATGCATGCGCATGCGCACACATACACCAATCCAGGGGCTTGAACTCAGGGCCTTATGTTCCCACTGGACTTGTTTAAGGATGGCGGTCTACCACTTAACCCACACCTCCGCTTCCACTTTTTGGTGGTCCACTGGAGATGAGTGTCTGCTTTGTCCACCCATGTGGCTTTGAACCTCGATCCTCAGATCTCAGTCTCCTGAATTGCTGGGATGCCAGGCGGGAGCCCCCAGTGCCCAGCTGGAAAGGCTTCTTCATGTAGATGGAGGTCAGGCTGGCCGGTGTGGGCATGCGCGGATGCGTCTTCCCCCTCTCCTCCCTCTCCAGGCCCTCCCCCTGACTCGATTCCAGGCCGTAGTGGCCTTGGCGGTGGAGCGTCTTGCAGACAAGTCGGTGCTGGTGTGTAAAAACGCCATCCAGCTGCTGGCCAGCTTCGTGGCCAATAACCCTTTCTCCTGCAAGGTAAGCCCTCCCAGGACCAAGCAGCAGCCTGCCACCAAAGCCCAGGGCGCCATTCCCTGCTGACCTGCCCTTCCTTCTCCCTGCGCAGCTGAGTGACGCCGATCTCGCCGGACCCCTGCAGAAGGAGACCCAGAAATTACAAGAAATGAGGGCCCAGCGGCGGATCCCAGCTCCCGGTGAGTACGCATGCGCCGCCCAGGCCTGCCCCACCAGCCGCCTCCCCCGCCCCGCACAGCCCCACGCGCACAGCCCCATGCGGACCAGGGCCGCTCCCACTCTGGTGCATCCACAGCGCTGCTGCCACAGGAGGAGTGGGAAGCCATGCTCCCCGAAGTGCAGTCCACGCTGCAGAGGCTGCTCGCTTGTCCCCAAGAAGAAGAAGAAGAGGGGACGCCCCAGCAGATCGCTGACGCAGAGACCGCGGACCAGGCGAAGGAGCGCATCCGGCAGCTGCTGGCCAGAGCCAGTTACAAGTACGTGAGGAACCCCCACACTGCGCTTTGTCTTGTTTTGGTGTCGTTTCTGGGGCTTGAACTCGGGGCCCGGGCGCTGTCCCTGAGCTTTTCCAAATCAAGGCTGGTGCTCTAGCTTTGGGCCATCTTGCTAATTCACTGGAAGTAAGAGTCTCGGGGAGCTGGGGACTGGAGGCTCACGCCTGTCATCCCAGCTCCTCTGGAGGCTGAGGACTGAGGATCTCAATTAGAGGCCAGCCTGGGCTAGGAAGTTCGGGGGACTCTGATCTCCAGTAAACTACTCAGAAAAAGTTAGAAGCGGCAACGTTGCTCCAAAGAGCTTCAGGGACAGGGCCCAGGATAACCCAAAAAAACAAGAAAGTCTCATGGACTTTGCTGCCTGGGCTGCGCGGGCCTCGAACCACGATCCTCAGCTCGCAGCCTCCGGGCCTGGCTGATGGCCAGCGGGTGGGAGCCCGGCGCGGCGCCCTCCAGGGGCTGATGCGGCCCGCGGGGCTGTCCCAGGCAGGCCATCCTCCTCGCCCGCCAGGCCACGCACCGCTTTCCCGGATCCGACCCGTTCTGCGGGGCCGACACAGAGGACTCCCCCGAGGGCCGGCTGCTGAGCCTCCTGGCAGACATCTTCAAAGGTAATCCCTGTCCCTCACCCGCAAAGGACGCGGCCCGACCCGTGCCCACTGCGCAGGCTCGGGCCAGCTGATGGAGCTGCTCCGCGGCGGCCACTGCGCCTACTGCGCAGACTCATTATTTTATTAAGGTGTTATACAATGGGGTTACCACTGAAGAAACCTAATTTTAAGAAATGATCTAAGATGGGCTGGGCCGGTGGCTCGGGTAGAGCGCTCACCTAGCATGCTTGAAGCCCTGGATTCGAGTCCTCAGCACCACAGACACAGAAAAAGCCAAGAGTGGCGCTGCGTTCCAAGTGGTCAAGCGCCAGCCTTGAGCCAGAGACGCCCAGGGACAGCGCCCAGGCCCTGAGTTCAAGCCCCAGGACTGGCCATAAAAACAAAAAAGATCTAGACTCGTTTGTGATTTCATAAACTTCCCACTGTAGATAGAAATGGCCGGGGTTATTGCTAGCTGTACTCTCCATCTCTCTGCCCTGACACGCAGGCCCTGCCAGTGGCACGCAGGGGTGCAGTGGAGACGCGGCCCCAGAACAGACGGCCTGTGCAGACCCGCGGGGGGAGTGTGCGCAGGCGCAGGCGGGGCGCAGCGAGGAGCTGGTGAAGCAGGAGCTGCTGGTGCAGTACCTGCGGGACGCCCGCTGCTTCTCCCAGAGCATCACGGAAGCCATCAGCACCATCAGCAGGATGATGTACGAGAACACCACCACAGGTGCGCGCCAGGCAGACCCACTTACGCCAGTTACGCGTTCACTCGTTAGTTCTGGGGGTTCATCGGAGAGAGTCTCACACACCTTCCTGCCCAGGCTGGCTTTGAACTGAGATCCTCAGGTCTCAGCCTCCGAGTGGCTGGGATGACAGGCAGGCGCGCCAGAGCCCGACTCCAGCCCCTATTTTGTCGGTCTCTGCGCCTGTCATTTTGGTTAGTTCCTTCTCAATTTGCAAATGCCACTGCATCCAGAATTTTCTATTTGCTGCGTCGCCAGTGGAGGACAGGAGAGAGGGAGCCCAGGGCCTCCATTTGCAGCCTCCAAGCGCCCTGGGCAGGAGTCTGTCTCTTGGCTCTCGGGGTGTTTGGCCAAGGAGCTGGGTGACGTTTGTCTCTGTCATTGCAGTGGTGCAGGAGGTGATTGAATTCTTTGTGATGGTCTTCCAATTTGGGGTGCCTCAGGCTCTGTTTGGGGTGCGCCGCATGCTGCCTCTCATCTGGTCGAAGGAGCCGGGCATCCGGGAAGCGGTGCTCAACGCCTACCGCCAGCTCTACCTCAGCCCCAAGGGGGACTCGGCCAGGTACTGGGGTTCTTTCTCCTTCGCTGGCTTTGCTGAGGGCGCTCCGTAGTGTGTGTATGTGTCGTGCACACGCATGCGCATGTGCAAATCCTGGGATTTGAACGCAAGGCTCCATCTCTTAACCATTTTGCTCAAACCTGGTGCTCTACTACTTGAGCCACTGCTGCACCTTGGCTTTTTGCTGGTTCATTAAAGATAACAGTCTCAGATTTTTTTTTTACTTTGCCTGCCAGGGCTGGGTTTGAATTGCGATCCTCACATCGCAGCCTCCTGAGAAGCTGGGAAGACTGGCGTGAGCCGCAGGCACCCAGAACTTTCTAGTCTCTTCCAGATGAGTTTCAAGCCCATAGGCATAGGATCGCTAGCGGCTCAGGCTGGGGCTGAACCTGCAGCACTGTCTGCCCCCCGCCGCTGAATGACACAGGCTGGGGTCACCCTAGTGGCCGGTTTGCTGTCCTCTGACCCCCAATCTCTGCTGTATCCCCAGAGCCAAGGCCCAGGCCTTGATCCAGAGTCTCTCTTTGCTGCTGGTGGATGCGTCGGTCGGAACCATTCAGTGCCTTGAAGAAATTGTAAGTCTCCCCGTCCTGTCTGTGTGTTCACGGGTCCAGGGCTTCCGCCGTGAGCTCAGCCGCACGGAAGCCCGTGTGCACCATTTGCTTTTCCCTTCCCAACTTCCTAACGATCCATGGGCCAGTTACAAGGCAAACACACCAGCGTTTTAGAACAGCACAGAGCCGGCGGTGCAGGTAGCACGCGTCATCCTGGGCTGCCGTGGCCGTTCCAGTGTGCTGGGCGGTCGCTGGTCGTGAGAACTGTGCAGTTGAGATGGGGTTAGGGAATTCGCCTGTGTCATGTCCAGTAGGCTCTGGAGCTGCGCAACCCATCCTCAACCTCTGAGCGAAGAGTGCTCAAGGAAAGCTCCGAGAAAGCACTAGGATTTAACTTGGCTCTTCTAGCCGGGAGGATGACCTAGAAAATAACAGCCTGGTGCTGGTGCTCACACCTGTAATCCCAGCCACTCAGGAGATTGAGATCTGAAGATTGCCATTCAAAGCCAGGCCAGACAGGAAAGTCCACCCTGGTGGAGCACGCCTGTAATCCCAGCACCCCAGAAACTGGGGGAAATCTCTGTGCGTGTATAAACCCCGGCAAGAAGTTCGGAAGGCCCTCCTTCCTCTTCCGTCTTAACAAACGCTCTGCACTGGTGGCTGCACCTCTAATCCCAGCTACGCAGGCAGAGGTCGGAGGATCATTTCAAGCGGGTCCCGGGCAGAAATGCCAGACCCTATGGGAACAAGAAAGCAGTGCCACCAAACAAAAGCCCAGGGCTGGAGCCCTGTTAGCCAGGGACCCCGAGATTGTAGGGACCCCAATCGCAGTATTCCACGGACGCCCAGCAGAGGCGGCAGTGACCACAGGCCGCCGCTAGGGGGAGCCCCGCTGTCCTGGACGGAAGGGACAGCTGGCCTCGCGTCTCCCAGGCCGGCTGTGGATGACGAGCAGCTGCAAGAAAGGGTGCTGGAATTTTCCAGAACCTAATCAGAACTGTAGGTCCACATGGAATCCACTCCCAAAGGTCATTTTTTTTTGTCTGTCATGGGGACTTGAACTCAGGGCCTGGGCGCTGTCCCTCGGCTCTTCAGCTCAAAGGCTGGCGCTCTACCCCTTGAGCCACGGCGCCACTTACAGTTTTCTGCTGGCTTATTGGAGATCAGAGTCTCAAGGACTTTCCTGCCTGGGCTGGCTTCGAACTGCGATCCTCAGATCTCAGCCTCCTGAGTAGCTGGGGTGACAGGCGGGAGCCACCGGCGCCCGGCTAGTGAGCAGTTTTAAAGGCTTGAGAGACTCCATGGAGGCTGGAGGCTGGCCGTCCTCCACCCTGGCAGCCTCCTTCCAGTCCCACTGCAGGGCCGCTCCAGGCTCTTCCTGCTGTCTTCCCGTCTTCATTCAGAGGCTGGGCGGAGGGCGTGCTGGGCGCAAGCCGCAGCCATCTTTCTGTCGTCCTCAGCTGTGCGAGTTCGTGCGGAAGGAGGAGGTGAAGCCGGCCGTGACGCAGCTGCTGTGGGAACGCGTCACGGAGAAGGCGCCCTGCTCCCCGGCGGAGCGCTGCGCCGCCGTCATGCTGCTCGGCATGATGGCCAGGTGAGGCTGGGGGGGGGCGGGGGGGAGGGGGAGGGGGGCATTGAGGTCTGGAGACGGCTCTTTGTCCCTTGGTATAGTAGCCAGAGCCCGTGCCAGTGGCTCCCGCCTGTCATCCCGGCTGCTCAGGAGGCTGAGATCTGAGGATCGCGGTTCGAAGCCAGCCCAGGCAGAAAAGGCCGTGAGACTCTGATCTCTAGTTAATCAAACCAAGCCAGAAGTGGTCGAGCACCAGGCTGGAGTGAAAGAGCTCAGGGACAGCGCCCAGGCCCGGAGTTCAAGCCCCACGACCAACAAAAATAATTACCCAGAGCCAGGCCCCGTGGCTCCTGCCTGGCATCCCAGCTACGCAGGAGGCTGAGAGCTGAGGATCGCGGTGCAAAGCCAGCCCCTGGCGGGAAAGTCTGTGAGACTCTGACCTCCCATGAACCACCAGAAAACCGGAAGTGGCACTGTGGCTCAAGTGGTAGAGCGCCAGCCTTGAGCTGAAGAGCTGAGGGACAGCGCCCAGGCCCTGAGTTCAAGCCCCACGACCGACAAAAACAAAAATGACCCAGGTCCCACTCCACTGTACCCAGGGCTGGCGGCCGGATGAAGCGTTCTTACCCCCCCTCCCCCCCCAGACCAGATCCCCGGATGCAACAGGGACTCGGGGTTAGGGCCCTGCCTTGGGGACCAGCCATCATCGCCTCCCCTCCCCGTCCCCCCTTCACCTCGGTGCCCGCCTTCCTCCAGAGGGAAGCCCGAGATCGTGGGCAGCAACCTGGACGTGCTGGTGGGCGCCGGGCTGGCGGACTCGGGGCGCCGGGACTACAGGCTGGCCCAGCAGGTGTGCCAGGCCATCTCCAACATCTCCGACCAGAGGAAGGTACCGAGCAGGCTCGCCCGGGGCCCATGGGGGTGGCCGGGGGGCCTCGCCCGCTCTGCAACCGCACCCCTGTGCTCTCCCCCCCCCAGCCCTCCCTGGGCGCCCGCCACCCCCCCTTCCGCCTGCCCCAAGAGCACGGATTGTTCCAGCACCTGCAGGACATGGTCACCAAAGGTGAGCGGGTTGTTGGGGTGCCCAACAGGAGGTGCCTACCCCCCCTGCCGGGAGCCTCGTGCAGAAGCGAACCCCGTGTCCCTGCGCAGGCTTCGCCCAGCCAGACCCGCTGTGGGTCCCGTTCAAAGAGGCGGCCGTGGCCCTCACCTACCAGCTGGCCGAGGGCCCCCAGGAGATCTGCGCGCGCATGCTGCGCGACTGCGCACGCCAGGCCCTGCACGGGCTGCAGGAGGACAGCGCCCCCCAGGGGGACCCCGGTGAGCAGGGGCTGCTGTGGGCTCCCCGCCTTCCCTCTGCCCACCTCCTCCCTCCCTGCTTCCGTAGCACCCCAGCCACACGACCCCATCTTTCCTGGGGTCTGCCATTTGAGCCACGGCACCCCCTTCCGGCTTTTTGTTGCTTTACTAGAGACGAGAATCTCCCAGGTTTTCCCCTCCCGGGCTGGTTTGAACCCACGCCCCTCCCGCGTCCACCTCCCAAGTAGCCGGGATTGCAGGCGTGCGCGACGGGTGCGGGTGCGCGCTGACTTGTTGTTGTCCGGGACTTCCCTCCGGCTCGAGCAGAGGCCGCTGCGCCGCGGCTGCGCACGGTGCTGCTGCTGAACCTGCTGTCGCTGGCGGGGGACGTGGCCCTGCAGCAGCTGGTGCATCTGGAGCAGGCGGTGAGCGGGGAGCTGGGCCGCCGCCGCGTCCTGCGCGAGGAGCAGGAGCACAAGGCCAAGGCCCCCAAGGAGAAGGTGAGGCGCTGTGCTCGCCCGGCCCCGGGGGTCCCGTCCCCGGCCGCTGCAGGGGGGAAGGTGGGTGGACATGATCCACGCGAGCCCGGGACACGCCTCCAGGGAAACAGAGCCGCCACTGCGGCTGGCCAGGGCAGGCACCGGTGCTCAAGCCTGTCGTCCAGCTCCTCAGGAGATCTGAGGATGGAGGCTCAAAGCCAACCCAGGCAGGAGAGTGCCTGAGACTCTTACCTCCAGTGAACCGGCCAAAACCAGAAGCGGAGGCATGGCTCGAGTGGTCAAGCGCCAGCGTGGAGGGGCAATGCCAAGGGACAGGGCGGCATGCACACACACACGCGCGCACACACACGCACATGCACACACGCGCGCGCACACACGCACATGCACACACGCACATGCGCACACGCGCGCACACACGCACATGCACACACGCACATGCGCACACACACGCACGCACATGCACACACACCACCCGCATCTCTAGTGAGCCCCCGCTTGTCCCCTGCAGAACACGAGCTCCGAGACCACCATGGAGGACGAGCTGGGGCTGGCGGGGGCCAGCGCCGACGACGCGGAGGCTGAGCTCATCCGCAACATCTGCGAGATGGAGCTGCTGGAAGGTGAGGGCTGCTGCGTCATCAGTCTGCGACCGTGGCCTCGGTCCCCAACCCAGGGCCGTCCCCAGAGCCCGATCCCCAACCCAGAGCCGTCCCCACAGCCCGATCCCCAACCCAGAGCCGTCCCTACATCCCCCACGCCCCGATCCCCAACCCAGAGCCGTCCCCACGCCCCCCACACAGAGCCGTCCCCACAGCCCGATCCCCAACCCAGAGCCATCCCCACACCCCCCACGCCCCTATCTCCAACCTAGAACTGTCCCCAGCATGAGATCCCTAACCTGGAGCTGTCCGCCCCCCGGCTTCCAGTTCTGAACCAGTAGCCATCCCCGGCCTCCAATCCCTCACCCCGAGCCGTCCCCGGCCTCCAATCCCTCACCCCGAGCCGTCCCCGGCCTCCCTCCCGGGCCTCCGATCCCTGACCCGGCCGTCCCGCAGGCAGGCAGGTCCTGGCGGCCTTCGTGCCCCTGCTCCTGGCCGTGTGCCACAACCCCGGCCTGTACAGCAGCCCCGAGCTCTCCGCCGCCGCCTCCCTCGCCCTTGGCAAGTTCTGCATGATCAGGTGGAGCCTCTTCTTTTTTGGGGGGGGCGGGGGGCGGCACTGTGGGGGGCTTGAACTTTCTTCACGGTTTCACTCAAGCCTGCCGCTCTACCCGCTGAGCCGCAGCCCCACTCCTGGCTTTTTCGGGGGTTTCTTGGAGACAAAAGAGTCAGATCTTGCGGCCCAGGCTGGCTTCTGAGGGCGATCCTCGGCGCTCAGCCTCCCGAGGAGCCGGAGCGACAGGCGTGCGCACCGGCACCCGGCCCTGATGATCCTCACGCCACCCCAGCTCCCGGTTCTGCGAGTCCCAGCTCCGGCTCCTGTTCACCATGCTGGAGAAGTCGTCGCTGCCCACCGTGCGCGCCAACCTCATGGTCGTGGTCGGAGACCTGGCCATCCGCTTCCCCAACCTGCTGGACCCCTGGACGCCGCATCTGTACGCTCGGTGAGCAACTATGACTGCCTGTGCTCCTGGTGTGTGTGGGGGGGGGGTTTGGGGGGGTCGCAGGCTGGGGTCCCCTGACCCGACATGCCGTCCCCAGCCTCCGCGACCCAGCCCAGCACGTGCGGAAGACGGCGGGTCTGGTGCTCACGCACCTCATCCTCAAGGACATGGTGAAGGTCAAGGGGCAGGTGAGCGAGATGGCCGCGCTGCTCATCGACCCCGCGCCGCCCATCGCCGCCCTGGCCAAGAACTTCTTCAACGAGCTCTCCCACAAGGTCAGAGGCCGCCATTCGGGTTTGCGGCTGCCGCCCGGGCGGGTGTGCATGTCCGTGACCCCATCTCCAACATGCGTCTCCCCCCCTACAGGGCAACGCCGTCTACAATCTACTCCCCGACATCATCAGCCGCCTGTCAGACCCCGAGTGCGGCGTGGAGGAGGAGCCCTTCCGCACCATCATGAAGTACGCCGTCGCTGGGGCGGACGGGAGCTGTGGAATAAATAAGTTCGGGCACTGGGACTCACGCCTGTAGTCCCGGCTACCCAGGAAGCTGGCTGATCTGAGGATCAGTTTGAAGCCAGCCCGGGCAGGAAAGTCCATGAGACTCTTCTCTCCAACCATCCACCAAAAAGCTAGAATTGGAGCTTGTGGCTCAAGTGGTAAAGCCCCAGCCTGGAGCAAAAACAGCTCAGGGACGGCGCCCAGGCCCTGAGTTCGAGTTCCAAAGATGGCGCCTCCTGTGGAGGGTGCCCCCATACCTTGTAGCTGCCCTGCGCCTGGGGGAGGGGAGAGGCTGGGGTCCTGGGGCGGGGGACCCACGTGCTCCTCGCTTCCCGCAGACACCTTCTGGCCTACATCACGAAGGACAAACAGCTGGAAAGCCTGCTGGAGAAGCTGTGCCAGCGCTTCCGCACGGCGCGGTAGGTGGGGGGCCCCCCAGCCTGAGGACCCCGGCCAGGGTGGATGGGGTCCCCGAACTGTGCCGTGCCGCCACCCCCCCCCAGCACCGAGCGGCAGCACCGGGACCTGGCCTTCTGCGTGGCGCAGCTGCCCGTGGCCGAGCGCGGCGTGCGCCGCCTGCTGGATCACTTCGACTGCTTCGGCGACAAGCTGACTGACGACGCCGTGTTCACCGCCTTTCTGTCCATCGTGGGCAGACTGCGGCGTGGGGCCAAGCCCGAGGCCAAGGTGAGTGCCAGGACACCCCCCCCCCCCCCCCACAGCCACGACCGCGCTGGGATTTGGGCTTTGGTCACGGTCCTGGTGCAAGATCTCAGGCTGGTGCTCTACCACTTGAGCCACACCGCCACTTCCGGCTTTTTGCTGTCTTCCATCGGAGAGGAGGCTTGTGGATTTTGACTGCCAGGACTGGCTTGGAACCTTGATCCTTGGCCCCTGTGACAGGATCAGGGGTGCCTTTGTAACCAGGAACGAATGAAGGTCGTGACCAAGTGAATGGCTGACTGCGCTAAGCCCCACAGCACTGTTGAGGGTGGCTGGGTGTAAATCATCATCTAACACTGATTACCATGCCGGACGCCAGCTGTGGACCTGCATCTCTGCGCCACGCCTCCCTCCCCTGCCCCGGGAGTTTTACCCCCTCCATCCTCTCCTGGGCCAAAGTGCCAAGAGCTGGGCTCTCCATTCGCTTGTTCTCTGGAGCCAGGATCTAAGCAAGAGCTCTGTGGGCGCTGGACGGGTACCGTGGGACTGAGCTGAATCCCGGCCAAATCTGGCTTCTTCCAGTCAGTAGTATACAAGGCTGTGTGTGTGTGTGTGTGTGTGTGTGTGTGTGTGTGTGTGTGTCTCCATTGTGGGGCTTGAGCTCAGGCCTGGGCACTATCCCTGAGCTTCTTTTGCTCAGGGCTGGCGCTCTACCACTTGAGCCACAGCACCACTTCTGGCTTTTTTCTGCTTATGTGGTGCGGAGGAATCGAATCCAGGGCCTCATGCATGCAAGGCAAGCGCTCTACCACTGAGCCACCTTCCCAGCCCCTCTAGTATTTTTGATAGGCATAATTTACTGGAGATCAGCATCTCCCAGGCTTTTCTACCCGGGTTGTCTTCAAACCTGGTCCTTAGATGACAGCCTTGTGAGTAGCTGGGATTCCAGGCCTGCGCTACCCTGCCCAGCGCGGTGCTGTTCTTTGCCCTGCAGGCTGTGGTGGATGAGTTTGAGCAGAAGCTGCGGGCCTGCCACTCTCGAGGGCTAGACGGGATGGATGAGCTGGACCTGGGCCCAGGAGGCAGCCAGCAAGCCCCGTCGGCCAAGAAACGGGGTACGCGGGCCTCCCCCCACTCCCCCCCCCTCCCGCCCAGCAGCCTCCGTTTCCTGGCAACCTCCCAGCCTTGCTTGTCTCTTCTAGTCCCTAGAACACAGGCCGAGGCTTCCACGGCCTCCGACGACTTCGCCACGCCAGAGCCACGCAAACCCACGCGCCGGCCTCCACGCACCACCAAGAAGAAACCCCAGGTCGTCTTCTCCAGCGACGAGTCCAGTGAGGAAGGTATGCCCCCCCCATACCCTGGGGGACCCCCCAGTGCGGTCCAGTGAGGAAGGTACGCCCCCCCATGCCCTGGGGGACCCCCCAGCGCGGTCCAGTGAGGAAGGTACGCCCCCCCATGCCCTGGGGGACCCCCCAGCGCGGTCCAGTGAGGAAGGTACGCCCCCCCATGCCCTGGGGGACCCCCCAGCGCGCGCCACCCTCCTCCCTCCCATTCTCTTTCTAGAGCTTTCCGCGGAGATGACGGAGGACGAGACCCCCAGGAAAACCACCCCGCTCCGAAGGGCGTCCCGCAGGCCCCGCTCCTAGCCATGCAGCCCTGCTGTATTGGCTCACCTCCGTGGAAAGTTCTAGAATGCCTGGGTTTTTAATCTGTCCATAGTCTTTGATTGCTTTTAACCTAGCCTCCTGGGCTGAGCTTGCAGCGTTGTTTTTAGCGAATAAACGTTTTACTGTTTAGTCTTTTTAAAGCATGTCTGGCCTAAAGGTGTCTGGGATTTCTGTCGGTCCGGGGGCTTGAACTCGGGGCCTGGGCGGTTTTCTCCTTTTGTGTCAGCACTGGGATTTGAACTCAGCACCTCCTGGTCTCCCTTAGCTTTGTTCCTCCAGGATGACCCCCTCAGCCTCCCTGCAGAGGGTCTTCAACCCCCAGAGAAAAGGGGAGCCCAGGCCCCCACATCCCGTGAGCTTCACGCTCCCCTGTCCACAGCTCCTGGGTCCCGTGATGAGGTCTGCTGCTGAAATGGGGTCACCTTGGTCCAGAAAGACAGCTTGTGTCAGAGCAGGATGCGGGGTGCACAGCTGTGACACCCCAAGGTCAGCAGCTGGGCTGATCAAGCCTGTGCCCGGCCAAGGGCTGTGTCGCCAGCCTGTAACCCCCCTGCACTCATCCCCCCAGACCAGGGGTCCCCATCGGCGCCCCTGCATCTAAAGGAGCCCCCCCCCCCTGCTCCCCGCGTCTGCTGTCTGCTGAGTCACCCTCAGCGCCGAGTCTGTTGTCATGGCAACTGCACGACTGCGTCAGAAGCGCCGCGGGCTCCGGTGCGCGGGGCGGACGCTGATGACAAGTGACAGGGGAGACGAGGCCCTGGTCACGCTCCCTGTGATGCAGAACATGGAGGGGCTCTTAAGGCCCCCCCTTATTTTGCGTGCCCATTCAGGCTCGAACTGAAGGCCTGGGAACAGGCCCTTCCCTCGCACACTCAGGGCGGGCGCTCTACCGCCTGAGCCACGGCGCCACTTCCGGCTTTTTGCTGACTCACTGGGCCGAGTCTCCACACTTTTCTGCCCAGGCTGGCTTTGAACCTGCTGCCCCTGCAGTAGCCGGGGTGGCCCTTGCTGGGAAGAGGAGCAGCAGCTGCGCCCCCCCCCCCCCCCCCGCAGGGACCGGCTGTTGATGGACGGCTGCAGGACGTGCAAACAGCTGCGCCCCGAGCCGGGGAGGCCAGCCCGGAAAGGCCAAGGGGCTGGAGTTGGGGTGCAGCGAGGCCCGTCCCTGCCAAGCCTTCTAAGCAGAAGCTAAACTTAGCGCGGGCGGGGGGCTGCTCTCAGGTTACCCGGGCCGAGGCCCCGCCCGCGCCGGCCCCGCGCCCCGCGCCGCCCCGCGCCGTCATCCACCGCGGGCCCGGCGCTGCACCCCGCCAGCCGCGGCCCCACTTCCGGCTTTGTGCTGTTCGCGGGCGATCAGGGTCTCGGGGTCGGTCCTGCCCCGGCGGGCCTTGAACCCGGAGCCTCAGACCTCAGCCTCCTGCGTGCGGCGCTCACGATCTTAGGAAGGGGACGCTGCGTCCGCCCCAGCCCCCCCCTCCTCCCTCCTCCCCCTGCCCCCCCGCCCCCCTCCCCAGCGCCCCCCCCTCCCCCTGCCCCCCCCCGCCCCCCCTCCTCCCCAGCGCCGCCCCCTCCCCCCTCCTCCCCCTGCCCCCCCGCCCCCCTCCCCAGCGCCCCCCCTCCCCCTGCCCCCCCGCCCCCCTCCCCAGCGACCCCCTCCCCCTGCCCCCCCGCCCCCTCCCCCCCTCCTCCCCCTGCCCCCCCCGCCCCCCTCCCCCCTCTTCCCCAGTGCCCCCCTCCCCCCCCCCTCCTCCCCCCCACCCCGTCCCGCACAGCCCCGGGTCAGCCCGGCGGGGCGGCCGCCGCGGGAGGGCGGGACTTCCGCGGGTGAGCGCCGGGCTGCAGGACGCGGTGACCTTCCCGGCCGGCCGAGCCGGTGCGGCTGGGGGCCCCGCGGCCCCCGCGGCCCTCCCCCGGGCGCCCGCCGCGCTGCGGGAGCGCGCACAGCTCAGGGGCGGGGCGGCCCGGGGACCCCGGTGCGCGCCCGAGGCGCCCCGCGTCCCGGTGGCCCCGCCCTCCCGGCCCGGGCGCACGTGCGGCGCGCAGCGGCCTGGCCCCGGGCCGGGCGGGGGAGGGGACGCCCTCCGTCCCTCCCTCCCCCCTCCGTCCCTCCCCTCCCCCCTCCCCCGGCCCACACGCCCGCTGCGTGCTCTCCTCAGGATTGGAGCGCAGCCAACCCCGCGGAGCGCCGCGGCCCCGCTACTCGCGTATTTACGGGCGCACGTAGCTCAGGCCTCCACCGCGGCGGCCGGGAGATTGACGGGCTCGGGGGCGGGGCCTGGCGGGGGCGGTGTGCAGGGATTGGCGGAGCGGGTGAAGGGCCCGCGGGGGGCGGGGCCATGAGGGGCGGGGCCCGCGTCAGCCCCACCCCCGCCCCGCTGGCTATAAAAGCCGCCCGCGGCCCGGCCCGCCGCTCTCCGCTCCTGCCCGCTTCCTGCGTGTCGCCTCCTCTCCTGCCGCGCAAGGTGAAAATGCAACATCCGGACGTGGGGGCTTCGCGGGCAGAGGCCGGGGGCTTTCCCGGGGCGGTCCCCGCGTGTGCAGCCCGCGATGTGGGGGCGCGCGGTGCGGTCCCCCGCATTGCGGAGGCCGGCGGCGGACGTGATGG